AATGTTAAAGAAGAATAACATGCACTCAGATTCAGGCCAAGGAAATAAACGTCAGAACCCAGTTGGGTTTACTTCCAGTTTATTTATTTTTCCCATAGGAGGGCAGCAGGGAGGGGAGGAGCCAAAGGTTGTTACCCTTTTTTTTTTCATTTTATGTAGAACAAGCCAGCTGATACGAAAAATTGTGACTGAATCATAAAAAAATACAATTACAAAGGAAAGGTTAAAGCATGACTGCAAATAGGAGCTGAGTGTAATTTTAACCAAAAGAAGAGTTACTTTGATGTGTGACAATGCGAGTGGATATTAGCGTATATTCCCCCTCAATATTTAACTAAATAATATATGGTAGAGCAAGCAATAAATGAAGTAGTGGAACTAGATCTTCATGGTAGTTATGGAGACACAAAGTGGGAAAAGAATTTCTAATTTACCCAATATTCTCTGCACCCGAAAGGTTTTGGAAAGCAACTCCAGCAACTTTGTCACCCATGATTGCTGGCCCTCCACTATTCCCTGGATTTATAGCCGCATCAATTTGTATTGCCAATAGTTGACTAGCCCCATGTACATATTGAGTAGGTTCAACCCTTGAGACGACACCTTTTGTGACAGATATATTGTCTCCCCCTAGAAAAAAGTAAATATCATAATGATTAGTAGAGAACTCATCAGATGCAAGTATTTAGTATATAATATATTTTCCACAAGATTGTTAAGTAAAAAGATTGTTATTTTGCCACAAGAAAAGAGGCTCCTATTTTTATAGGATTTGATAAATGGAAGGAAATTGTTAATGAGGTGGAACAAACTATGGTGAAGGGAGCCCAATTTCTCAGTAGAAAGAAAAGCAATGTGCATTTATGTGAACTTTTGAATGTAATGAGCCCCTAATATATTATATATATATATATATAGGATTCCTAATGATGACCCCGCTTGTGGGATTACACTGGGTATGTTGTTGTTGTTGTTGCTGTTTTTGTTTATTCCTAATGCTGACCCCAATTAATTTGGATTGAGGTGCAGTTGATTGATTGATTTTGTGAGAAAACGTGAATGGAAAGAGCCTGTTTGTGAGTTGTGATCAATAGTCAGTTTTTTTAAAGAGGTATAACATCCCATTGCTAAACATGAACACTATAATATCACACAAACAATAGGAAAACAACAGAAAGCCTCAGAGTTTGAATCAATTAGAAGAAAAATAATTACCTTGAGGATAACCAACAACAGATACAGCTTCTTGGAGAAATGGAACATCACCAAGATCCAAAGAGTTCATGCCCTCCCAGAATTCTTCACTTTCTACCACCAGAATAGCCAAGTCGCATTCATGACCAACAGCCTGAACTGTTGCTCTATACTTGGTTGGAGAACCATGCTTTCGTACAAGTACAAATGTATGATCAGCCACAACATGAGCATTTGTCAGGATTCTCTTTCCCGGAATAACAAAACCTATAATATTAAGAATGCAAAATTCAAAAATAAGCTTTGTATTCGCTTTCTTTTTAAAAAAAGAAGAAGTTACCATACACAAAGGGAAGGGAGGGGGAAAATGAACCGCCAATAACAAGGTGGAAGTTCACGTATCCAACCAAGTAGGAACCTTGGAGCTACAATATCAAATATGGTATGCTCAGAGACGGATCTAGAATTTGAATTTTATGGGTTCTTACAGCAATCTCGAGTTAAAATACAATTATAACTAGGTTTGCTATCATATTAGTGGATTTAAAATACATATACAGAGCTTGGCCAAAAGCTATCGGCTTCTAGTGAACCCGTAGGTTACACTCTGAATCTGTCACTGCTCATGCTTCAATCCTAAACTAGTTAAGAGTCCCCCATGTCTAATATCGTGCCAAGAACAAAACGAATTGTTTTCCATTCCCAATCATGAACCCAATGAATCTGGAGAAATTTTTCCATCCTTTCACAAAACACTAATCAGACTCCCATAAACATGTCTCCCATATCTTGCCTCTTCTTAGCAAACAAATCACAATTCTTGGAACCTTTGGGTTAACGGCAAACTATTTATGTTAATGAACAACAACTTCGTAAAAGATAGCATTTTTACAAGGCTTCCTTAGTTAAAGAAGTTTGGGGAATCTTAGTAGGTCAGTTGGTCAGCTATATAAACTTTTAGATTGTTGGTGAGGGTTCAATTACCCAACTTGTAATCCCCTACCCCGATTTTTTTTTACAAATGGTCAATATTGTCACCAAGAAGTGAACTTTCCTTTCAGGGATCCATAAAAATCTCACAATATACAATGCCAAGTCGAAAAAAGGAAGCATATAGAGAATGACTTTCTGGAAGAGAAATGTAAGAGAAACAATACCAGAGCCCGTCGTTTCGCGCTGAGACTTGTTCTGCCATGGAAGGAAGTAATTAGGACTGCTGGAAACAGTAAATATCTTAACTACAGAATCCAATGCTAGCTCAATTGCTAAATAAGCATCCAAAATTCCATCAGATAAGCGCGGCGCCACTCGTTCTACCTCCGATAAAGCAACTCCAGCATCTCCCGCAACTGATAAATTAGGTTCAACACTATCATTTTCCTCAGTTCTCTCAGTATTAGGTGCATTAAAAATCGAGCTATTTGAACTCAACGTGGAAAAAAATGAGGCCGAAGCAGATATATTCCCAAAACTACTACTGTAATTGAACGGTATGAATCTCCGGTGACGCACCGGCGCTATGCCGGCGATTGCAGAATCTCCGGCAATTATGGGGCATTGAAAGTGGAGCTGTCTGTTTAAGAGCCTTCGTGATGCACGGAGAGTAGAACCTATTCGTAACATCGAAACCGGCGTATTACCGGTGAAGTTCGCCGGAGCTCAGCCTATTACGCCGGTGCCGTTAAAGCGCGCGCAAGGGGAAAAGGGTTTTAGGCCTTAATTGGAGATTCTAAAACCCTTCAAGAAAGAGGGGAACTTAAAAATAATTAAAAATATAAAAAAATTAACCACAAGTATTTTTAATTTTATTTTTCTAAAATTAAAAAAAATAAAATGATACAATGTACAAAAACTTACACTTGGATGAGTTGAGAATCTTCAAAATGGGGCGGCGTGTGCTTGATATCACCTATGTGTGTTTCTCGATCGAATTTGTCACTAAGTAAGGCCAGGAGCTGGTTTGGAGAATCACGGGGCTTTACTTATTCAAGGGGGATTGATTCTAAAATGGAATAAGTGATAAAATCGACATTTTATAGAAGAATGACCGAGACCATAAAATTCTTTCACACCAGCACATGCGGATGAATATATATAAAAAAAGTTCACACACCGAGTTTGTCCAAAAAAAACTAACTTGAAAATATTACTCCTTTAATATTTGAAAGAAATTGACAAACACCTATTTTTGAAAACCATTATAGTGTTTATATACTTTTTAATGTAAAAACTAAGATTTTGACCAAAATACCCCTAGTTAAAATACGGGAAAACTACAGAAGATCTTTTATTAGAGTTTGAATTTTATGAACTATACATATATGAGGATTATGAGATTAGTTAGTTTTAAGTTGTTTATCGACCTATTTCAATTCTCGTCCTTTATTCGAATTTGAAATCGACAATCCCAATTTAAATAAAATAATAACATAGTCGATGAAAATTTATATAACCGATTCGAAGTATCAAACTCAATAGGGCCTGCAACAAACAAACTGATGCCAAATGTACAAAAAAAATCTTAATAAATATTGATTTCCTCTTATTATTATGTCCTATTTGGAACATTTCCTTTGTATTAGCCGGCCAAATAGTAACATTCACTATTCAATAATTATAATAAGTACTATTTTAATAATTGTCTTTCAAGTTTGCCATAAAAAATAAACAAGAAATAAAAAGTATATACTTGTTATTAGTTGTTAGAAAAGGCTTGCTTTTGAGTCCAAAAACAAATCATTTCGACCTAGGTCGAATTTCTAGTTCATTCTATGTTCTTTTGCTAGTTCGATCGTGGGAATTCTGAAAGTGAGAATTACGAAACATGAATAGAGATGAAGATCTTCTTTTGTTTACGAACATGTATAAGCGCGAAAAGAATGATCTAGCTAGCCTTCTTCTCCCTGTTCCGGATGAATTTGAGGCAAATGGTAGTATAACTTTACTTTTTATTATGCAATTTTTTCGACACGTCTTTATGGAGAAGTAAGGATTCATATAGTCGTTCCCAACTTGCTCGGGACTGAAATAAATCTGTTGTTGTTGTTTTCTTGTAGGGAATTATGCACTATATAGAATGGCTTCTAGCAAAAAAGGTCAAATGGGATTGGATTACATGATGAGTACTGAAATTGGAAAAAATGACTATGATTGGTAAAATTCAATTTTCTTTTGATCATATTGTTGCACTAAGTTAAAATTAGAGCATGTTGAGTCTATCAACGTGTGAAAATCTTAAAAGACAGATAATATGGATCAGATATAGTCTAATTCGTTCGTACTTATACTTGAAATTTTAATTGAAGGTTGAAAACGCCACCGGCTACGCCTTTATTTCCATCTCTTGACATGGAAGCCAATGCTCCAGAACTAGTCATTCAGAAGGAGATCCCAATTATTCAACCTGTTATTACTCTATCAAGGGTGTGTGCTTCTAACATTTTTTTAAAAAAAAAATCAAAAGTCACTATTATCGTGAAATTAGTTTTCGATATGATCAAGTTTTATATACAGTCAAAACTCTCTATAACAATATCGTTTGTTTGAATATAATATAAAAAATTGATTTTAGAAAAATTTGATCGTTATAGTGAAATATTATTATAGATAATGATTGATATAGAGACGTCAGAATGTACTTAAATTTGTCACAATAGTTTGCAGGAGGAGCTAAAACAAGAAGTACTCTTATAAGATCTTCATCACCTAATCAAAAGACAAAAATAGACACAAAAAACTCAACACAAATTGGAAAACAAAATGTGTCATCAATAGAGAAGAAGTACACAAGATTTGCAACCACAACAATGATCAAATCCAACACTAGCAACGATCATAAAGAAAGATCAAACACATTGTCATCAAGTGCAACAAGAACAACCAAGCAAAAAGATTCAAGTCTTAATTTTTTAGCTTCCAATTTATCAAAGACAATGGGAATTGAGTCGTCTTTGAGTACCACTAGGCCTAAAAGCAGGGGAGTGTCCCCTGCTAGTAGACCTAAAAGCAGGGGAGTGTCCCCTGCTAGTAGACCTAAAAGCAGGGGAGAGTCCCCTGCTGGAAGGCCAAAAATCCTGGGAGCTCAGTTTCCAGGATTTTCTGATGAAACTCCACCTAATCTCAAGACAAACCGGTCCCTGTCAGCAAACAGGGGCCGGCCTAACCAATCAACTAACCAAAGGCCAGGATCATCATCATCGTCCTCTTCTTCAACGTCAATACCTTCTACAAAACCAATAAGACGACAATCTTGTTCACCTAGTGTAACGCGTGGACGAAAACAAGAGATTAGTACAAGTAGTACAAATATTCAACATGGGAATGGTACAACACAAGTTCTTGGTAGCAAAATGCTTGACAAGTTCATGAATGCTAGGAAGTCAATTCATGAAGAGAAGGCAAAATTGACTAGTTCAATGAATGAGAGCTCTGGTTTTGGAAGGCACATTTCAAGAATTTCAGCAAATATGGCTCACAAGCACATGGTAAGTGTATCTAATTTACTTGTTACTCCCTTCATCTCAAATTATCTATCGTATTTCTCTTTTACACGTCTCTTCAGAAAATATTAATTAAGAAGGGTTCTAACTATTTTATCCTTATTTATGTCCTAAGATATAATCTTCCTCTTTTTCATTAAATATTTACTTTATTTATGTGTCATCATCCCATAATTGAAATGTTCGTAATTTTCAAGAACAATTACTATTAAGTGTAAAATGAAAAAAAAATGATATTAAATTGTCTTGAAGCTCTAAAATGAAAAATAATTTGAGACAAGTAATTTTAGAAACAACAACACATAATTTGAGATGGAAGGAGTACATTATAGTATGAACTAATCAAACTACATACATAGTGATGCAAAACAAGAATTTAGAGTTTATGAGTTCTGGATAAGTTATTTATACATAGTAAGTGGAGATTTTTAAGCTTAAAGACATGGTATGGGTCAAACCTATTTAGCTATACCAAATTCGTAAGCAGAACTGTAAAGCCACCTCTGATTATATAGTGGCATAAAATGATCAAAAAAGACAATGATATAACTTCAGTGTTGAACTAAATTGGGCTGGGCCTATGGTATTAAACCCAGGCCCAACTAATGTCCATAGCCTACCCTATGGCCCATATTAGTTCACCCAAATTAATTGGGCTGGCTATTGGTCTTGGCCAAAGTGTAGAATGGTTCAAAATTATTTTTTCTTCTTGTTATTATATATATATATATATATCACAAAAGTTTTTAGAAAAATGTGCCTCTAATGGCTATTTTGACACTTTTATTTTTGTTAGTTTAATTTGACCAATGACTCTATAGATAGTTACGAATGGAAGTGAAAATACATATTACTTAATCATAATTAATCGAAAAGTTTCTATACTCGATCCATGTCTTACGTTTCACTTGTATCAGAGTTTCAGCTAGTGATGCTTTCGATTACTCAGACTTTTGTCACGATGATTGTTTTGCTCTCGCACAACCTGTTTTCACAATTTAGGTAAAAACAATAATTCTCTTATTAATTTGATTTTTCAAATTAAATGACAGGAAATCCATCAAGACACTGGTAATTCTAGCAAAAATGGCACAATTACTGGGAGAAAATCTTCAAATATTAGAGGCAGCAAAATCCCTAGTGCATAAAACAACTCATATAATATTTTTGTACGACTTTAATCAAAAACAACAAGATGTTTTTTTTTTTTTTTTGCCTTTTATATCATTTAATGATGATTATTAAAGTTTTTTCTCCTTTTATTTTGTCGGACGAGTCATCTACTTAAATGGATCTTTTCGCAAAAGCTTAGTAACTAGTAACAAACTACATATGGATGATATTTGAAAAATATATACAACTTATGTAAATTAACTTTACGTATTTCATGATGAAACATGATCGAACGCCCACGTACGGTATATATACTGCGGAGTTTCAACTAAAGTAGTTCCTGAAAAAGTTGGAGGAAAAAATTGTTTCTGAAAAAGGAATAAAGTAATAAAAAGGAATAGAAGTAGAATAGAAATGTCAAACAGTTAAAGGGGTTAATAGTGTTGACCAAAAAGTGAGAAAATCAAAGTAAAAAGTCCCCCAAAAAACAGGTAAAGTGTATAGTATTATAGTCAGCAAAACCATGTTCTCAAACTATAAATAATTAATTACTAAACACTATGGATGGAAGGAGTGACGATAAAATTATCTTTGTACGAATAATTTCATGAAATATTTATTGTCTTTTATCAAAACATGGACCACATAACTCTGCCATTTTCACCAATATTAATTTTCACCGTGAAATTTCATGATTTTGAATTCACTTCATTATTCATTATGTCTTGAAATTATTTTTATTATTAACTAGAGTCATTTTAAATGTATTTCTAATACATTAAATTTATTATATTAAAAAAATATAATAAAATCATTTTGTATTTATTACTTTATAAAATATATGTCATATTAATACTAAAAAAAGAAAAAAAAATGGATAGGGAAATATCAATATATACACTAGTTCAAAAAGGGAAGTGACTTTTGAATTTAGGGTACATAGTACATACACATGCATGTGCTTGGTGCATAATATTCTTCCAAAGAGAAAATGAAATCGTTTGACTTTTAATCAGATATCTCAGATTCGAGTCTTAAATATGAAGAAATTCTGTTAAAAGTGTCATCTTGAAATGAATCTTACAATACGTAATTCAAATTTAATCGAAGCTCTAATATAAACTACTGACACCAAATAAGATATCATTTTTTCTTAAAAATAAATTAAAAGGGGGGCAAAAGGCATGTTGAGTAAAGTGATAATTTAAGGAAGAGAGATGGAGAGAAAGAAATAAGAGAAGTAAATACTAATGTGTAAGAGATGTTCCTTCTGAAAATACTGATTGATACATTGTTTTCTCTCTCTCACACACACACAAATAGAGAAACAAATTAAAAGCACCTTTTGGAAGACTTGATTTTTTTTCTCCACATATATTTAGGAAAGTGTGCACATATTATGTGACATATTTTCGAATTTCAAAATTCATATTTTATTGTAATTTTTCATAACAGTACAATAAAAAGGCAATATACATATGCAAATTAATAAAGAGAGTTAAAGTCATTATCGATATTAATTAGTTGTTATTGAATTTAATATCGTTATAGACTTTTAGGAACATTTGCAAAGAGTGTTAATTGCCTCTAAAAATACATATTTAATAGCAATTAAGTTATTATTGTTAATTAATTGTTGTCAAAAATCAGTGTAGTCTGTAGTGATATCTTTTAAATAATTTTGATTTGACAAATTAAGTGACTTGCAGTACTTTTTACTCCCTGAATCTACTTTTAACTGTCACGATTTCCTTTTTTTAGAGTCAAACTATACGAACTTTGACTAATATTTTATAATGTATTTTTTTTATCATATTGATATGCAAAAAAATTGCAATTTATAGTACCTTTCATATAGTTTTTGAATATTTAAGTTTTTGTTTAAAATATCAAATTAATGTAATCTAATTTAACTTTGAAAATTAGTCAAATTGACTTTCGAAAAGCGTCACATTACAATTAAGAGTGGACAAAGAGAGTACATAATTTTCAAATATATAGAACTTAAACTTTTTAATTCTCAAAATACATATTGTGTCACGTAAATTGAGACGGGTGAATAGTGTTATTTGAACTCATATATGTCCCAAACTCCAAGAAGGAAAAATAGAATGGGAATAATTAAAGGTATGAAGGGGGGAATAGAATAGTCGATGTAAAGAGAGAAGCATATATATAGGTATATATAGACTTGTTTTCTGAAAGAATTATTCATTGTTTGTTTCTGCACATCACAAGAGAAAAATACAGCAAATAGGATTAGTCAATTCTGACTATAACAATTGAGAACATCACTTGTTTGTATTGGCATTGTCCAATTAATGCATTTGCAGAAGTAGTAATAGGGTGGGGGGTGGGGGTGTGTGGGTAGGGAAAAAATGAGTAGTTAATTGCAAAAAAATAATACATAGAACATATATAGTTATTTACATGAGATATTGATATAGAATTGAGTCGAGCGTCTGTTAGAAATAATTTTTTTATCCTTAAAGCAAAGATAAGATTCGTGTATTCTTTATTCTTTTCAAACCGACTTTGTAGGACTATATTGAAAGTTATTGAATTTTGTTCAATCCGTAATTTCTTAATATAAATACATAATGTCTAACTTAAGGTTACTGAAATTTATCCAATTCGTAGCTTTAACGGTAGATCCACCTCTATATATAAAAGAAAATGAGTGAAGTATGCTAGTGTGACTTGCTTATATTACTGATATCAAATTCGACGCTTTATTCGTAGATCCACCTCTATATATAAAAGGAATGAATCAAGTATGCTAATGTGAACTTGCTCATATTACTGATATCAAGCTCAACGTTTTATCGGTAGTTCCATCTCTATATATAAAAGAGAACGAACCAAGGTTACTCAAATTACTAATATCAAGCTCAACATAAACTAATAAAGTTACGATAAATTCTCGCTATATGAAAATTATATATAGATTGATATTTTTCGATTGATAACTTATTTGAGATTATAATACTCAACTAAGTTAATTTTTTATTTTGATATAAATATTAAATATAAATAAATATTTATTGGGGTGGGGGGTGGGGGTCAGCAGTATCAGAGTCAGAGGGACAACCCGAAATAAATGCATTTACCAATCCCTCCCTTTAGGCTTCGTAAGCTGCGCTTCTCTCGGGATATCCCTTTCACTTTTTTTTCCGTTCGATGTTCGGTATTTATATCGAGACTTGATTAATATTATATTTTTATCGAGTTTTGATGATCTATTTATTATTTGATATTTATATTAGAATCTTAATTAATTTAAATTTATGAAACAAATGATTTTTAATAAAAAAAAAATTATATTTAAAATTCAAACTCGATCCAATCAATTCTTGGACAATCCTTGTCTCTACACATTTTCTAACTTTGTTTTTATGTCTATATATATATAATAATTTCATATGGATTTATTATGATAGGAGTAGCATTTAATTTTATATATAGGCTTCAGAGGAGAATAATTATTGATACAAAGTTCAATCAAATAGGTATGAAATGTTTGAAATGACTAATAACAAACTGTAACATGGAAATCAGTACTATTTACTATTTAGTTGGATCTTTTTCTTTGACCACCATTTTTTATCAATAATAATAATGCAATATCATATTTACATATTAGAAAAATATTTTAATAAGTGGTGAGGCAGTCTCAGAATCAAGTACGTTGTTCGGATTCTTCAAAAATAAAAATAATTGTTTGTCAGATCTTAAAAAAAAGGAGTGTTTTAAAAGAATCTAACACAAATATGATAGTAATATTTTTGGAGAATTTGAATAACACAAGCTTCAACGTTATATATAAACAAATTTCAAGATTTAAAAAAAATAGGGAAAAAATAATATCATACTTGTATAATAAAAATGTGTCTAACAATTTTTCATTTTCAAGATTTAGAGTCTATTTAAATTGATTTATTTTTATCATTTTTAAGTACTTGGATAAAATTTTAAAAAATACTTTTAAATCAAAAATATTTTTTTTTAAAAGTCATAATTTTAAAATTCCTTCATTAATTAAAAGCACTTAAAACTAAAAAGAGTGTTAGTAAATTAAATTGAAAAGGTTTATTAATTAAAAGGCATTGTTTTTATTTTCTCCCGGAGAACATGCATGCATGACACTTATTATAAGAGAAAAAAGTGCATCATAGAACAACCCCATACCACCATAAGCCAATGGGTATAGGCCAATGTTTTTATTTCGCGCTCGATGTTCAGTAATCACTTTAAAATTTTGATTAGTTTGAACTCGAATAAGAGAACATATATTTTTTTTTAATCATAGTTGTGTTTCACATAAAAGGTATAATCTTGTAATTTTGAAAATGTCACGTTGTTTCTACAAGAGAAATTTACTTGGTAAAATGAGAATATACAAACAAAAAACTTATTAAACATTTATTTTGTTTTAATTAGTTTATCCTTAGTACTTTCCTTTTTAGCCTTTTAATAAAAGAATGTTTTTATTTTTATTTTTATTTTTTTGCAATTCTTTAATTTTTATTTATAGGACAAGTTTGACATCACAGAATTAAAGAACGGTTTAATATATTTGACTTATTTAAAATTTATGATTAAAAGATTCATTTTTAATCTTAACTCCATACAAATTAAAACAAAACAAATAAATTAAAACAAAGAAAGTATTAAAAAGGATAGCATGCAAATTAAAATGAATGGGGTACCAATTTCTAAGTTAAAAGTAACAGTATTTCTTCATTCGTAATTAAAGATCTCAAATTCAGATGATATGATTGAAATTTTCCTTTAATAAGGAACACCTTGACCTTAAAATATAACTTTTCAATATAAATTTGAATCAGTCAAACACCAAAATATTAAGATATCTGTAAAGGAGAGCTAGAAATTTTGTTAAACGAGTTCAAAATATAAAAAATTAACCTAAAAAGAATTTAAAACATTTAATATTTTTCTATATATATAATAATTTTCATAGTTTTACTAATATATCTATATATATTTATAAATACCGTACAATTTTTTGCATTAATACTACCTAGTTTCGCTTCAATTTCCAGTTAAACTTAACTAATTTGACTTCTTAAAAATGAAAAATATCACATAAATTTAAATAGAAAGAAATAATATATATATATATATATGCGTCGATCCTACCTAGCTCCGCTCCGAATATACGAAGAGAGTTATGGGAGAAAAGATGGGAAAGAGGACAAAAGGCATGCAGCTGTATAAAGTGTCCCTACTACTGCATGCATTAATATTACAAAAAGGACAAAAAATTCATCATTACTTTGCAACTACTAGCATATCATCATTGTCCCTACCTATCCTCTTTTATTACTCTTATTTATTATTTAGACCTATCATTTTTATTTTATTTTTTATTTTTATATATTTATTTTTGCATGCTCCTTGTAATTAATACATGAAATACTTAATAATTAAGTGAATAATTCGATGTAAAATATTTGAAAATTAAAGTTAGGTCTGATAATATTAAATCCACTAATTAAGTGCGATTGTAAAAATCTAATAATGCATGATATGTAATTAGATGAACAATAAGAATTTATACAATAAATAATACTCCGATCATATACGTATTGTTATATAGAATTATAAGCTTGATCACAATTCACAAATATATACATGATTTCACAGTCAAATTCATCTCAATTTTTAGTTTGTTATATATTGAGTCTCATGTTATTATGTTATCCATGTATCAGATGTACTATTCGGAGACACATCTAAAAGAACGGAAATTTTAAACGAATATTTCGAATAAAATCAATAAAAAGTTCATCAAAGACATTTTTAACAAGTCAAATTATGACGATTTTTTTATCGGACCTCCATCAAAAAGTTCATTTCATTATATATTAGACTCCTTTGTAAATTTTGGACAATTCAATCTAACTTTTAAGGTCGATCTTGATCGATATTAAATGGAGAGAGTAGGTGATCAAATATGAAATTAGAAAGACAAGTATTTATATTTGATTTTCTATTTGATGTTTGATAAGCTTGAATCCGAGACCTTCAATTTCCCTATCTATCTGTTTCTTTTAATTTTCAAAGCGTCACTATTCAATACATGAATCTCACGTGTGACTAAGCCAACTATATTAGGAAATGCAACTATAATATAGTTCAACTATTTACTTTATAATAGTAGCAATTATTTTCTGTGCATATTTGACCTAAAATAATACCCTACCTTTTGACTTAAAGCTGGCCTATATAGGATTATCTCTGATTTGGTATAGGTATAAATATACATATATATAATAAATATTTCCATAGCAGAGTTGTTTATTTGGATACGGTTTGATTGTTATAGTAGAATATTGTTACAGAAAACATATAATATACTCATTTTTATCCTAATTATTTGTCACATTTTTTCTGAGGTCATACTACATAAATTTGAGCATCATTAAAGATAAAAAAAATTCACGATATTGATATTAAAAGAACAGCAACTCATAGTACTTTTATGTTTAAAATAATCTAAGTCAATTTAATTCCGAACATCAGTTAAATTGACTATCAAAAAGTAAAATACGACAACTATTTTAGGACAAAGCGAATAACATAATACAAAAAATTGATTTTAAAAACTTAATTGTTTAAATGAAATATTATTATAAGTGAAATGTTATTATAGAAGACATCTACCTGCATAGAGGTCTAAGTCTGAAGATAAATTTTCCTCAAGTTTTTTTGGGGAAAAAAACATTAAGGCATAATCAAGAAGTATAGTGACATAAAATATTAGATTAATAACACTCACAAAATCATTAACATTATACTAGAACATAAATTTGGTCTCTCAAAAATAAGTTATAGTAGATAATAATTAACTCTAGTGCATGGGCTAATTAACAAGTATTAGCCATCATAATCATCATGCTTAATATAGTATTGTTTTTTTGGAGCTCTACTCAATAAGTCAAATGTAACCTAAATTAACTAAGATGGATCAACCGGTGTTCGGTGTCCATCGGCTCCAGCAGCCCTAGGCTGCTGGAACTGACTCAGCTGACCTATAAAAAGGCTACTTGCATCGAAGTTGTTGCTCCCATGACCTTCAAATGCTCGAATCATGTGTTGATGTTGTTGTTGTTGTTGATCCCTAGGAAAGAACTGATGATGGTAAAGGTGGTGCGAATGATCCCTCCCACCACCGCCACCTCCACCACTTCCAGCCATAAAGTTGAACTGCTGATGATGATGGTGGTGGGCGGTGGTAGCAGCTGCAGCCGCTGCAGCTGCTAAAAGTCCATGAGTCGTAGTACTAGCAATACCTGTCGATAGTGACAAAATTAAAAATTTATATATAAGAATTTTCAAACAATACCAACATATACTCTAAGGATTTTATAATTTTGTCATTACAACACTAGAATATTCTGTCAATAAAAATTAACAATTTATAAATATACTAATAAAAACCAATCTATCCTATTTATCCAATATAATTTTCTAGCGAAGAGAATCAACTTATTCAGTTTTCAGAAGAGATAATCATACAGTTTAATATCATACCTATAATAAAAAACATATCAAAGGTCTTGAGTTCAAATCTACTGTTAACGAAAAACCAAAAAACATAAAACAATATTTTCAAACAATAATTAAATCATAAAAAAGAACTAACAAACACATAAACAATATGTAGCTAGAGAGTACATACATACTCCACTAATTCATGTATCACCATTCAGATTTCAAGAGTCAAACATGAAATCTTCAGGTCGTCCTCATTTGACTCTCGAAATTCGAACAGTATGTACCACATAAATTGAAACAAACAAAGATAATTTGAAAAAACATACCTCCTAGGTTTTGATACTTTGAAAGTTCAGATTTAGCACAACTAAGATCCATTTGTAGTTGTCTAAGTTGATGTTGAAGAAGTGAAATAACACCAACACAACCATAAACAGGATCACGAAGACGCATATCAGCTTCATATGCTAACGAATTTACAGCATCTTCGCGTTGATGAGGCTGTAATTCGTTAAGCAATTTAGTCACATTACTTGCCCCAAACACCTTATGAACATTCGCGAATTTCTGTGGTTGATCAGGAGGGAAGTAAGGTGCAAACACACATTCCGGTTGGCATTTCCTACGAAGGAATTTGCACGCTGCACATGGTGAATTCGACGATAATGATGAAGAAGATGACATTGACAATAACCTAGAAGAAGAAAAAAGGGGTAAAGAGTTAATAAACGAAGTATAATCCAAGTTTAAGTTTTATATACTGACAAACTAATATTATTGCTTCTTATACAATGAGTTAACAAGTTATATATATAAATTCATAGTGTAATTTTTTAATAAATTTACTATCTGGTTATCTAAATAACATGTAAGTATTTGTAATCTTGAGGATAAAATAAGGTATATATATGTTACAAAAGGTATATAAATGATCTGGTAGTGTAAAAAAACTTTTACATTGACGATTTATACCGTTTGAACTCTTTATAAAATCAGATTATTTATGTAATTACATGTAAATCTCTTGATAAGTCTGAATTGATACTATCTAGTAGTAAAAATAATAACTAAGATTCTATCACATATTAGAATTTACTAATAATATACAATCGGTATATATAACTTAAATTCATATCAATAAATTAAAGGTAATTTAGATCCAAAAAAAACTTTTAATATTAAGAAAGTACAAAAAGGAACAGTAATGTAAGTACTCTACATACCTGTTTTTTAATTTTTGAATATTTGATGCAATTTGAAGACCAATAAAAATCTTGGTAGAAATAATAATACTATTACACCTGAAAAAAAATTGAAAGTTTATGAAGAAGAATGGTATAACAAACTTAAGTACATATTTTGTACCAAGTAATAGTTAAAGCTAGAAAAATAAAATATAATATAATTGTGTACATGTAATATGAATAACTTAAAGAAGTAATTATATAATAAAGATTTTCTTGGGAAGTTTTAATTTTTTGGGATTGGATCCCGTGAAAATTAAGTATGAAAGTAAGAGCTTTTATATTTGTTTAATTAAAGTATACAATTATCTCTCTTTACAATGTCATAATTCTAGTCTCTCTTGCTTGGAAATTCATTCACATGTAGATAAATCAAGTCACCTAAAAATTATTTTATTGCAATGTATATAACTTAAATTCGAGAAAATATTTATATTAAAAGTAGAAAAATGTCTTTATAAATAATATATTAGTACACTATCAAATCATTTAATGAATGAGATCTATAGTCTTGAATCAAAAGATAGTCACTTAAACACCTTTGTCAGAAAATTATACTATGCTTATATAAATTAATATTATGTATATAAAAAAAATTTAAAAACTCTTTAAAAATATATACTAAATTTTAAATACTCTTAGCAAAATTAACTCTTGTAAAATAAGATTCATTATCTACTCTAAAATGACATGATAATGTTCGAAAATAATATTATATATATAGGTAAAAATAACTTTAAAAATTCTTAAATTAGGGAAAACTTAAGACTTTGAAGTTCATTTTCTTGAAATAAGTAAAGAAACAAAAAAAATAGTATAAATAAGAAAGCAAACTAAAAAAAATTAATTAAAAAGCAAAAAATAAATTTTAAAAAATTGCACCTAAGTCTAGTATATATATTTTGTTGAAAGTTTGCGTGCCTACATAGTCTTAGGTCAAACCTTTTTTTTTTTCTTGGTTCTATTTTTCAGCACTAAAAGTCAAGCTTGGATCTTGTGTAGAAAAAAGCTTTCTTTTTCGTACCAAAAATACAATAAAGAAATCAAAATTTTAGTAACTCGGTTAGTTGACTAGTTAAAAAATTAAAAAAAATATGAAATTTTAGTAGCACAGTTGGTCGATCGAACAACAACGAAAAAGAAAAAAAATTGTCCTATACTAAAATAGAGACGAAATGATTACCTTTTTTCTTTTTTTTCTGACTGATGATGATCTTCAAGAAAAATCTTCAACTATATGTGAAAATAACTAAGAAGAAACTAGATGTTTTCAATAAGTTGAAATTTTCATATAAAACCAATATAAGGGTTTTGTTGAAATGAAAATATTTGAAGTAGTAGTAGTAGTAGAAAATTAAGAAAAAAGAAGGGCAATCTTTAAGTTTATAAAGACAAATAAAATAGGTGATAAAAACATATAAAGATGGTGTACAATAATATATGAAATTTTTTTGGCTTTTTTTGTTAGCAAAAAAGTGAGAAAAAATAGGGAAGTGATCCCCCAAGAGAAGAGGCTAAGGAAACGGAGAGAAAGCAAAATGATTTTCTTTTGGTTTTATGATGTTGTGATTATTATAGAAGAGAAAAGGTATGTTTGGTTTTGTGTTTTTTTTTTTTTTTGGAGGATCTTAGTACTTAATATTGTTCTTGTATATAGGAGTTTTGGTGTGTGAATTATGGGGTTTTTAGGGTTTTTGTGAGTAAAGGGGGTGGGGGAGGAGGAGGGGGTATTTATTAGGAAGAGAAGAGGGTATTTACTAGACTTGTCTTGTGTCATTGATGTGTGAATTATGTGTTTTTAGGGTTTTAGTGAGTATTGGGGTGGGGGGAAGGGGAGAGGAAGGGATGTTATTTTTATGAAGAAGAGAGGTTTTTTTTTCGATTTCCCACGTCTAATGTTCGAAGTTTATAATGAAGTAGGGTGTGGGGAGGGGGAGGGGGAGGAGAAAGTGGAGGAGATGTTATTTACTTATGAAGAGAGGAGGTTTTTTTGTTTGTTTTAGCTTCCTACTCGATGTTTGAAGTTCAAATTAAAGTTCTGATTAAATTTGAATCGTACACTGCAAGACTTATTCTGGAACAACGCTCCCGACAAGATTTATAATTTAGGGTTTTGGTGAGTAGGGTGTAGGAAGGGTGGGTGAGGGGTGGGGAGGGGATGGGGGGAGGAAGGGATACTATTAAGTATATGAAGAGAAGAAGGTATTTTCTAGAGTTGTCTTGTGTCATTGATGTGACATATCCTTTTAATTGTCCTTGTATTCCATTTGTTGCACCCTTACACACATTTAAGTCTCCTCTATACACTCTCTTTCTCTCTCTCTCTCACTCACACACACCATTTTCTTAATGTGGAATTTTGTTTGAATGTTAATGGTGGACTACAAAGAATAATCCAAAGTTTGTTTGTTTATTTTTAGCAAAAGAAAGATTAATTTTTTTGAATTTTTATATAATATTCCATACTTATTTTAGGATCTCAACTAATTTAGTTTGCATTTTGTAAAGCCAACTACCAATATTTTTTGGATCTTATGATTTGTATTTGAGGCTTTCGATTGAAGATGAAGAATACTTATTCCATCGAGATTATCAATGGTGTAGAAGAAAAATTATGATTTTTTAACTTTTATATAAATATGTTTTTTTTTTTGTTGCAATAATGATGTATAGATAGTTATGGACAATTATGTAACAGCTCAAACTCATGGCACAAATTGTTTGCTTTGACACAAATAGGCATGTTTGACGAATATCATGTACCAACTCTATCGAGGACATGATCTTATTCAATAACATTGCAGATCATGGCTTTAAAGGCAAAGTTTTGACATTCATAACTTATTTACTTTCAATTTTAGACACAAATTTGTCATTTTTGTGATAAGTGACCCTTCGATTCTAGAGGATGTTCAATTTTATATCATGAGCACGAGTAACAAATTTTTCATATATTAACTTAGATTTTTTAATATTAGCCTGTGTGTAAGTAATATTTATTTAAACTAATATATCAATTCAATAAATTTTAAATAGCTACACATGTTTTTGTCGTTTTTTGACTAAGAAACTAACATTTGAAATTTTATAAATACGTGCAAGGAGTAACACTGATTAATAGTTTTAGATTATTTATATCAGAATCAATGGAACTAGACCTATTAATTTTTTAAGTTGTTAGTTGTAAAATGCCTTTAAAAAAATTATAATTTATAGTTTTTGACAAAAAGTTTGACTTTTGCAGTCGACAAAAAGAATTATTCTCACTTTAATACCTCGAAGTTTGAATACATGACACGTACCTACCTCCTTGCTTGCAAAATAACTATAGCAAGGAATAGGTCAATAACGCGCTATCCAAATTTAATTACAACTCCAATACAAGCTCTGGATCATAGGGTGGAAAATTTAAAAAAAATCATAAGAAAAATAGGAGAAGAACTCCAACACCATCAATTAAAAATAGAATGTAATGATGAAACTGCTCCACCTTAAATCAGAGATCTCAGATTCGAGCCTTGGTATTGAGAAAATCCTATTGGGAGCGTCAACCCCGATGGGATCATACATTGCGCAATCTGAATAATAACATGTGTCCCAAAATATTTGTCAATTTATGAAATTAAGATAGAATTAATGGAGTGATTTTTTTCTATTTTGTCTTGAAAATTAATTGTTTTTAAAAGTAAAAAACATTGATCTTGAAAAAAGTTAAGGGTAAATTAGTAAGAAATAATTCTTATAGGAAGTGCTAAATGGCCAAAAAATTTGGCCAGAAAATTAAAAAAATTATAATATTTTTTTTATTTTAAAATAAATTGACTTTTTTTTCCATTTTTTAGTTAAAAGGTATTAAAGTTAAAATGAGGAAAATGTTTATAAAGGTAAAATAACATAGATAAAATATCATTCTGGCCAAAAAAAGTTTTCCAATTCTTATTTATTAGTTTTCTATTTTGATTTTTTTTCTCTTACTTCACTTTTTAGTCGATTTAAAAAGTTATTACTTTATGATTACATTTGAAATGGTGGTTAAAAAAAAAAAATTCCTCTTGTTTTTTTTTTTTACCATTGGGGAAAATATTTGAATGGGCTACAAAAGCCCAAATATCAATTGGGCTGAAGAAACAATTAGTCAGTGAAAAAAGGTTCAGTCCAATTTCATCTTTTAAACCTACTCTTGTAATATTTGTAAAGATTCTACCAAATACGATTTAAATTTGAATTAATCGAATCACAATTGTCGAATAATTATAAAAATATATTTGAAATCTAAAATTATGATGTAATAGAGTAAAATTATGACCACTAAATTTGCAACCGGATTGCAAACTCCATAATCTTTTTTTTCATTCTTTGTTTAATTATTTTTTCCTTGACAAGACTATACTTTATTTTTGCAATATATAAGCTACACTAAAAAAAGTAACATCTTAATTATTTATAAGTTCCACATGAGTGCGAGCTAATAGAAGAATCAACTTAAATAATCATTTATTTAATCAACTAAGCTAAAAATAGAATGTACGTATAAAATGTATAATATGTGTATGATCATATATAATGAGTGTATAATATATGTATATCATCTTAAAATAAGTAACAAGTAAATTAATACTTAAAATAAGTAACAAGTAAATTAATCCTACTATTCTTGTAAATGTCCCTACAAGTTTCCTTGGAGTCTCCATGTATATGAAGAGGTTAAAAATATAAAGATCAAACTACTTAATTTCCATTATTAATTCATATATAATTTCTTAAAATTTAAAATAAATTTATATATTTAAAAATTAAACAAAAAATGCTATAAATTAACATAGCTAATGATTCACAAATTTGTTTTTAAAAAAACATTATAATAAAAAAATTATTTGACTTTCCAAACAGTAATACCTATCGATAAAATGAAAGAGAGGGTTTATTTGATGTGCATAAATCTAACCCAATTGGAGCTCCCCTTAATAAAGGCCTACCTAGTTAGTCCCTTAGTTATATGGTATCCATCACATAATTTTCTAAGAGGCATTTTTTTACTATTTCAAGCAAATTTTGATTCCTTTTTTTTTTATTTTTTTTATTATTGAGTTCCCTAACAAACTCAAATATTCTTCTAAGGATTGTTTGAGATTCTTTCGATTTATTTTACTTTTCATGTTTTCTTTTAAAAAATAATTTAAAATGTAATTTTTTTTATTGTTTAATTTGATATCTTTCCTTTTTCACTATTCCTTCCATCCCAAAATAAATATCGTTTTAGTTTTTCTTTCACGCACATTAAAAAAACAATGATTACAAAGTACAATCATTAACTATTACTCCCTCTGTCCAATGCTATTGACTTGCCACATCTCTTAAGAAACTATAAATAGAATAATAATTTTACTATATCATCCTTTGAATATAATAAATACAATGTCTTGAAAAATTTAATAAGGAAATGACTATAATTAATGATTAGAGTAAATTAGGAACTAAGTGTAAAATTATCCGTGAATTTCATAAAGTGGACAAGTATTATTGGACGTCTATATTTAGTATAGTGGATAAGTATGTTGGACGGAGGGAGTAAGAAGTATTTTCTTTTGTTCATATTAAGTGAATTGTTGGGTAAGACGCATTCCTTATGAAAAAATTAAATGACATAAATCAAAGGCTACTTTCCACTATTACCCTTTTGATTATTCTTAAACTATTCTTCTAGAAAATGTAAAGCAGTTAAGAAACTGTATTAAAGTGAAGGGTAAATATGAAAAAAAAGAGTTTTAAAATTCTATTAAATTTTGAACAATTCACTTATCTTAAATTATGAAAAACAGTCCAATAATTCACTTAATTTTGACTAAAGGGAGTAATTACTTGTCCACTTTTCCTTTTATAGTTGTCCCTAATTACTTAAAAACAACTACTAATTAGGAACGGAGGGAGTAGTTTTTTAATATAAAGATATAGTTAAAAACAACTACTAATTATTGTCTTTAATTTCTAAGTGATCAATTTGGGGGGCTAAAATAATTTAAAATGAAAAGAGTAGCTAATTACATTTTATTTTTTATTTTTTAAAATTATAATTATTTTAGACTTTATTTTTAACAAAGTCTAATTAGTAAATATGGTTATGAAACCAAATTATTTTAGTCTTAGTATGCTGCACAAAAGGATGAGAATGTCATTAATGCAAATGAATCCAATTGGTTTGCAAATCCTGTCTTATTTAATGGTCATTGGAATTAGTTTTGATTTTTCAACTTTCTAAGAAAAATTCAAACTTCTCTAGTAAAAGCCTTATTTTTAGTGGATGATATTCTCTTCGTTCCAAAATAAGTTAATGTCCCCTAAATTGAACACTATTTCCTTCGTTTTTATTTAATTGTCATCATTTTAAATTTGGAAAAATTCTTTTGGCCAGAAAATTTGACAGATTTTACGTCTCTTAAGAAATTAGATAGATTTACCATTGTACTCTTATTTAGTGTCTCTTGAAATCAAAACTTTTAATAAATGAACATGAAGTAACTTATTTTGATTAATTAATTTGACCAATGAACATGAAGTAATTTATTTTGATTAATTAATTTGATCAATGAATATGAATTAATTACTTTGTTTTTCTATGTTGATCAAATAATGCATAATTTCAAGGCTAATAATTGTTAAGGATAAAATAGAAAAAATAATGTCATTTATGCATTGATTTTGTGAAATTAACCAGTGACAACATGTAAATAGGAACGAGGGAAGTATTAAGAAAATGAAGTAAATATGTATAATTGGAAAAGCATACAAAAAAGAAGAAGAAAAACTAAAATTACAAAAGTAAAATTTATTTTGAATTATTTTGGGATGGAGAAAATAATATTTTACTATATATAAATATAGTGATCAAAATTAGATGCTAGTAGCTGGATTTACTTGGTTTCACTATCATTTCCAGCTTTCAAACTCCATTTCTTAAAACTACCACAACTCTATTTTTCTATAGTAATATACAACAAAGTCAATATCATACATTTCTTAATCAAATTCAATATGAAATCCTTTTTTTCCTTCTAAAATAGTTGTGTATACATACTAGTATTACAAAAATATAAGAATATATATATATCATGAGAAGGTAAAGATGAGATATGCGTACATTTCATCTTATACAAACCTTACATATGATACTACACCAGTTAAAAAAAAAAAGAGAGTCAAATCTTTATCAATAAGATAACAATTCACGTAAACAATCAACTGAGTTATTCCAATTCCGTTTAGACATATCACTCTAAGGACTCTTTCCTCTCTTTATTTTAATATGGTAGTCAACTTTCTCTTTTCTTTTTAACAAAAAATAAAAAAAAATCAATACTTTATTCGTTTTTGTCCCTCTATATATATAATATTTTGAACAAGCTTATATATATATATATATATATTCATAGTAAGAAAAAACTGTTTCGTCGATTCCGTTGAGTCTGAACCATGTGAAGGAACTCTATCATCCATTTTTGTCATTAACCACAAATTAAGTACAGGTACAATTTTCAGTTTAGCTGTCAATTTTTTCCATTTATACTCAATTAAATCTAAATTTTTCATTAATCTCCGTTTTTAGGAACAATGTACTCGAATCACTGGGGAGGTGCGTTAGAAATCGCGACGACGACCGGCGGCGAATCGACGACGGACGACGATAATCGGAGCCGGAATTTTGATTTGGATAGAGCATCGGTGAATCAGCTGCAACGGTACGATAATTACGATCGGAGTACTCAGAGTAGTCGGAATTTGGATGAAACGCAACAGAGTTGGTTGTTAGGTCCGCCGGAGAAGAAGAAGAAGAAATACGTCGATTTAGGATGTATAATTTGTAGCAGAAAAGCGTTGAAGTATACGTTCATCGGAATTATCGTTGCGTTTGCCGTGATTGCACTTCCGACGATCGTCGTGAAAGTTTGGCCGAAGCATAAATCTCAACCTTCGCTGCCTGATAATTACACTTTTGCCCTTCGTAAGGCTCTCATGTTCTTCGACGCCCAGAAATGTACGTTTTTCTCCTTTCTCTTCAGTCTTCCAATTTTAACTTTTTTGGCCGAATGAGAATAATTTCATGGACAAAAATGATCAAAATTTGGTTTAGAAAAGATCGAGCCCGAGTTTAACTCAACCTCAAAATCTAGCTCGCCGATAACAAAATTACTCAAATTCATATAGGAAGACAATCTCATTTGTAAATGAACATGTGAGACTCAAAACCCCTCGACAAGGCTCGAACCGGACAAATAAATAATGAATTGAGATGAGTCTGACTCTCAAGATGACAATTGTGTTTTTTTTTATGAATTGAGATAAGTCCGACTCTCAAGGTCGGAACTAATATGTTGGTAATCTGTTCAGCTGAATATTGGTTTGAATTCTGAACTTGCAGTAAGAAATTCATTAATTATGTAGAAATTATAGAATTTAGAAATTTAAAAAAATTAGAATTTTAAATTCATAAACTTCAAATTTTAGCTTTGTTTCATTGTCTTTGGTACCATATTTGAGTATCAAATTACTAGATCGTGATATAAAAGACAAGAAAAACCCTTAGTTTGAGAAGATGATAAAATCATTTTTGTATTTGTCCTGATTGTAGTGAAGAAGTATAAGTAAGGGTAATTTTAAACTATAATTAAAAAGTAAAATATGTAAATTTCGAATATTTATATTCTAAGTATTTTAATACGTAAAATCCACAAAATTCATATTGGAACTCCATTAAAATTAAGAGCGAACATGAAATGAATATGCATCACTATGTATTTTAATGTGTAATATAAATCAAAGTGAATAATAAGGTAGGAGAAGAATTATGTGTTTCATTTATCCATATTTTAATGAATAAAATGATGTAATATACTTGTAATAACAAGAATTAATCGTGATGAACAAACTAACTTGAAAAATATGACAATAAAAAAAAGTGAAAAGAACGGATTTTTATTATTCTACTTTGTCATTTTCCTTTGATGATGTGTAAAAGGTATATAGATATGTTAAAGAGTAGCTAAAAAAGGGAAAGAAATAAAGTTATTTGATTAGGAAAGTAATAATAATAATAATTATAATAGGCTAGAATTGCTCCTTATAAAACATGGTGTTTGTTATTTGAAATTCCACAGAATTATAGTAACGTTCATGACTTTTGGTACACGTATGGACATAGACTTGGTAAAACATATACTAAAAAGTAACATGTTTTTCTATTTTCACATATTCATAAATTACTTTATGATGCTTGTTAACGTGATTAGTCATAGGTGATATAGACACGTTACTAGTTTTCTAATTATACTACGTGCCAATATTATTATTATTATTATTATTTGTTCTTTGTGACATGCTCTTGTTAAGAAGTATCAAAACATTATGTTGAATGAAGTAGTGTTGGTCTAAAGTTGGTTGGTTTTTTTGGAGTTTATCGATGTTTGATATCTACATTGATATATAATTAATTTAGAGACGTACTCCGTATAAAGCTTCATTTGAAGGAAAATACTCCTTATTAGAAAATATCATACCTAAATTCAAACTTGAAACATTTAATTAAGAAAAAAAATATCCGTTCTCTAATGTGCCACGTCTTTTTGGTGATTGATCTAAATTGTTAATAAAGCATCAATCATGAGGGATTATAAATTAGTAAAAAAAATCAAGATGGAATTGCTAGTGCTACAACCTAAGTAGTAAAAAATTCTTGAGGCAGTCCGTTTTGACACGACATTTAATTTGTATCATCATTTTAATTGTTTTTTTTCACATATATCATTTTAAATATGTCACGTCTAAAATTAAGCTTGACAAAATCAATATATGAAGCTTAGTCCTTTTCGTTAAGTGTGGACAAAAATGACTGAACTTTAGTTAAGTATATACTTATGAATAAAGTTTAAGTAAAAATACCTAAAGTGAAGCAAAAATGACAGAATCGAACGTTAAGAAAAAATTGTAAACTTGAAAAGGTGAATTTACGATTTAAATTTACACATTAGAGTTTTTAGTAATGATCTCGTCATAATTTTGAAATTATATGTTCAAAATTTTAAAAGTTTTATATATATAGGGTCAAAATTCCTCCTTCCAATGTAGAGAAATTTCTAAGAAGGAATTTAGAACATATGAACAGGAGAAAGTAGACATTGAATTGGAAGTTAGAACATCCTTAGCATTTGACCAAGAAACTAATAAAATGGGTCCAGAAAAATCTTACTCCTAGTTTGGTAGGGACATTTTTATTCCTTCTCTAGCAAAAATAAAAAATAAAATTGTAATTTAATTGATAATAATAATTTAATTAATAAACCAAAGTCTTCTTTCCCTTGTATTGTATGACTTGGCCTTATTAATATGTCGTCACTGATGATCCTTTAAGTCCAATTATAAATGTCACATTTTCCTTTTAAAATTAACAACTTAAGATAAATTAAATCAATTCTATAAATTATTATACTAACATTTTGATCTCATACCTAATACTTTATGACATTCTTCAATAGTTTTTTCTCGGTCTAGTGAAGGGAAAAATTCCAGAGGAATTTAGTAGTTTAGTTGGTTAGTTATCTAAATTTTATCCGATTCTCACCTCGTAATTTCTTCCTTATTTTCCATTTGCCTACCCAATTTTTTTTTAAAAAAAATGAAAAGAAAAAAAAAGATCTAACTGATTTAGGGAACATTATTTTAATTATGAGTTCGTGGGGAGCCTCACTTTGATTCTTTGATTTTGTCAATGATAACTTTATTTTGCATAGGTTAAAATCTAGAATATTTATGTTTTGACTTTTAAGATTTAGAGCCTGTTTGGATTAGCTGATGACAAGTAGTTGTTCGATTTTAAATGTTTAAAAGTATTTTCAATTGCTAAAACTATTTTTTATAAGTGAACAATATATGTTTGGATAGATATGTTTAAACGATTAAAATTATAATCGTCTTAACTACTACGAATGCCAAGTCATTATTTTCGAGTAAAAACATATAAAGAACGAAATAGCCAAAAGTATTTAAAAAATCTCAATATTTTGCAATAATATTGATTGGAGATGATTCCATTTTCCTATATATACATTATACGTAATTAGATAACAGAAAGAGGGGTCTTTTAGGAATTCAGTTTTCTGCTTGGGAAAAAAATAATTTGTCAAAGTTGGCTCACATGTCTTTAGAAGTTGTAACACTGTCTTAAATAGTTACGAGTTTATGTGAACTCAGTAACTATTGTTATTGGATATATTGGTTTCTGAATATTAGACCATCAATGCATGTTTTAACATAACCGAGAATCTATTGAAAATAGACATTTCTACGTGTGAGGGGTAAAGTCTGTGTACACTCTACCCTTTCGTGACTCAGCTAATTTGGCATTAGTATGATGAGTTTGTTTTTCTTTGCATATGTATATATGCAGCTGGGAAATTGCCAAAGAGCAATGGAATACCATGGAGAGGAGACTCAGGTTTACAAGATGGATCAAAACTTGCAGATGTTAAAGGGGGATTGGTTGGAGGATACTATGATGCTGGAGACAACATAAAATTCCATTATCCAATGTCATTTGCAATGACCATGTTGAGTTGGAGTGTGATTGAATATGAACACAAGTACAGAGCCCTTGGTGAATATGAACACATCACAGACATTATCAAATGGGGCACTGATTACTTGCTTCGTACTTTCAACTCATCTGCAACTAAAATTGACAAAGTTTACTCCCAGGTAATATTCTTGTCTTTAAACATCAAGTTCTGCTAATTAATGAGATTCGAACACGCAAGCACTAGCTCATTCCAAGTGCTTGAGATCACTGGGCTACAACAACTTATTGTGTGTCCGAAATATGTTATTTAATCACTTTGTGTATCATTTTACTTGTATATATATAATATATATATTTTCAACAAAAGGTGTTCAATTGGACACTCCGACAACTACGTACTCCGCCCAGCCTACGGCAGGGTCCATCATCTTGGCAGGAATTTCTTTAAAATTGCTATGAGTTTTTAAGATCGATCTTAAGAAGATCATTGTTTACTCAGTAGCTCATATGAATCTGGTGATTATTGGTATGTTTAGTCGGGTGGGTCAGATACTTTTCATTTAAGACGAGGGTCTATTGAAATGATGTACTTGTAAGTAGTGATAAGGTCTGTGTACATTTGATCCGCTCTAAACCCCACTTTGGGATTACATTGGTGTGTTGTTGTTGTATTATAACCCTTTGAGTTATTAGGTTCTAAATTTATAATGCATACATATTAAAAGAAATTTAAGACAAATATAGGGTTTTAATTTGTTGAATTTGTGTCATAAACTCTACATCCACCCCTGTCTTGATACGACGGAAGTCATTTCCAAAAAATTGTCGAAAAAAAGTCTAAACTGTTATCAAATGTCTGGTTGAAATGTTGCAAAAAAATTTCTTGTTTTTTAATTAAAGATTGTTAATTAGTGGATGGAGGTATGTTCTTACTACCACATACCAAAAATGGTGTCTTGACTTTAATATTTAGTTGATGTATTCATAAAGTAAAAAAGATCACGTTATATTCAGTGGAACAACAGTAGGATTCTCAAATGCGGAGGTGTATGCAACATTGTGCCATTTGATTCATCTGAACTCAGTACTTTGATGTGAATTATAAAATTTAAGTATAAAAAATCCACATAAATTGCAACGAATAGTAAGTTTGAACCTTTAAGACTACAGTAAGTTGAATGCTAAGAACCAATAAAGTGTAATCATAGAGTTCAAATCCTAGATCCGCGTTTGAACTCAACTGAAGTGAAGCTTTAAGCCTAATGTTAGACTGTTCATACTAAATTATATATGGTTCCAATTTTCATTGATCTCAGGTTGGTGGGGCTTTGAATAATTCAAGAAAACCAGATGATCACTACTGCTGGCAAAGGCCAGAAGACATGAACTATGAACGCCCTGTTCAAACAGCTACTTCAGCACCTGATCTCGCCGCTGAAATGGCAGCAGCATTGGCTGCTGCTTCCATAGTATTCCGGGATAACAAACAATATTCAAGAAAGCTAGTTAAAGGAGCAGAGACTCTCTTTGACTTTGCCCGGGACTTAGGCAAACGGACTTCATATTGTCGTGGAAATCCATACATTGAACCTTTCTACAACTCCACCAACTACTTCGACGAGCATATGTGGGGATCAGCTTGGCTATACTATGCTACTGGTAATAAAACATATATATCGTTGGCTACTAATCCTGTATTGTCTAAGAATACCAATGCCCGCTTCATGACCCCGGATTTGAGTGTGTTGAGTTGGGATAACAAGGTGCCTGCAGCTATGTTGCTGTTAACTAGGATGAGGATATTCTTGAATCCAGGTTACCCTTATGAGGAAATGTTGAGTAGCTATCACAATATCACTGGCCTTACCATGTGTTCCTATCTACAGAGGTTCCAGGTCTTCAACTTCACTAAAGGTATGTCTTGTCCTCTTGCAAGAACTTGCTTTTGATTAAACATGTTTTAGTTCACCGGTTGGAAAAATAGTTTTTTATTTTTTTATTTTTTATGATAAGGGAAATCCACAGCCGCTAGTCCGCTAGGCAAGTCCGGTGCGACGAACCCAGAAGGCAAACCCCTTGCTTTCATTGGCAAGGAGTTTCGAACTTGAGACCTCCTCGTGCACCAACAAAGAGAAAATAGTTGATAGAGACGTTAGGTCTGGTGGAATCTTCTATACCCCAAAACCTTCACGGGAAAAAGAACTGACTCACTCACCCTACTTCTAAAGATAGATTGAAAAGGTTAGGGGTCTCAGTTGTTGAGGTGTTATATATAGTCCTAGATTAGGATTATTTGCTAGATTAGGTGGAAGTTCAACACACTGTAATTGGTTAGCTAGGATCTTAACCGGGACAGAGCTAGGGTATCGAAAGGGGTTCATACAAACCCCTTTTGTCGAAAATTACATTATATATACAGGGTCAATATTATTTTTTTTAAAACCTATATATGATAGATATTGAGCCCCCTGGCTTCTATGCATGTTTACTTCAGTGAAAATTCTAGTTATTGCCACTGAATTCGTAGCGCCTACCAAGACACTTTCTTGGTAGAACCCATTAAAAAAAGTAGTGGTGGTTTCCGAACCAATAAATTTCAAATTTTAAATTCGCCTCTGTTTTCACATATTTAGGTGGACTTATCCAGTTGAATCATGGGCATGGTCAGCCATTGCAGTATGTAGCAAATGCTGCCTTTTTGGCATCACTATTTGTTGACTACTTGAATGCCACTGGTGTTCCTGGATGGTACTGTGGCCCTTTCTTTATCACCTTGGAAAAACTTCGCAGTTTTGCCACTTTCCAGGTCTGCACATCAATCCCTTTTGTGTGTTTGATACGACAAAAGTCATTTTCCAAAAATTAAACATTTTCTATGTTCTACAACCACAAGATTAAATGACATTTTCGTACATTCTACCTATCTTTAATGTAAGATCACAAGATTCAAAAGTCTATTTTTACTTAAAACTCCGTGTCAAGTCGATACCAGGCAAACAAATTGAAACGGAGGGAGTAATATTTATGTCCTAACATTTTGTCATTGAAAAACAGATGAACTATATATTAGGTGAAAATCCCTTGAAGATGAGCTACATAGTGGGATATGGAGACAAATTCCCAAACCATGTTCATCATAGAGGTGCATCAATACCTACTGGTAAAACAAAGTACTCATGCACTGGAGGATGGAGATGGAGAGACACAAAAAATCCCAATGTTCATAACATAACAGGAGCCATGGTAGGAGGACCTGATAAATTTGATAAGTTCAAAGATGTACGCGCGAATTTCAGCTATACAGAACCAACACTAGCAGGAAATGCAGGACTTGTTGCTGCACTGGTTTCTTTAACTGGTACTGGTGGCTATGGTATTGATAAAAATACAATGTTCTCAGCTGTTCCACCTTTATATCCAATGAGTCCACCCCCACCTCCGCCATGGAAACCATAATGTGCAGAAATTCTTGAAAACTTCAGCTTAAATTTTGCCTGTTGAAATGGCTATCCATGTACAAAATTTCGAGATAACAGAGTTGTTTTAACTCTATTTATATCTTGTGACATATTGGCATAATAAAATTCTTGCATTTATCGATGTTCCCAAATAGGATGAATTTAGACGGTATTTTGTACTTCGTATCATACACTGCCATTACCATAAAGAAAGACCTCTCTTTCGAGATCTGTTCAGTAACTAGATGTTAGTGGTTGATCAGTGGCGTTTCACAATGAAACGCAGAACCTTATGATAGAACTTATCAACGACAAGATAGACAAGGCTTTTGTTGAAGTGTTCATGATTCTGGCATTTCGAAAACTAATCTTGTAACTTGAAATCTGATTGACACTGAGTTTACTTTTAGTATATTTCTTCCAAACTGAAATGTACAGTTTCATAAAACTTCAAGAGTTTTTCCTTGAAGAAGAGAACATATAATAAGGTTTCTTGTGAGACAATAATTGACTGCCAGTGAACTTATAAATAAGGCTGATATAACTTCCATATTCCTTCGAAAGAATTACAACAGAGAGTGTTGCCTTACAATGGATATCGACAACTTCTAATGCATTTATATATATCATTTAAATTTATTCTTAGAAGGATTGATGAAAGAATGAGAGCAAATAGAACACTTGAGGTAACTATTGCTCATAGCAAGAACCTGGTTCATCTGGGGCAGCTCGCCCGCCTCCGGTTAATGGACCAGAAGCCACTCCTCTTTGATTCAATAGGCATCTGAAATACGCCAACCTGCGAGCAGCTTGTTCTGGATTCTTGGCAATGTTGTCATAAGCGGTCCACAGCCTCTCTTTTGTGAGTTAACCAGCAATGACAAAGAAGAAATGTTATAATGAGAAAGACAATTGTATTTAACTTGTCGTTGGGAGGCTATATGTCCTCTTCCGGAATTATATATGGCAACATGTCATAACTCCTAGTGTACATGAAAGAATCGGGCGTGGGCGTATGTGGCATGCAAGCTATATTATGTCAAAGCTAGTAAGAACTAAGTATATCTTTCTTTTTTTTGACAACCGTGTTGTCTCGAACCAAGCTTGTGCCTCCTCCCTCCAGCACAAGTACAGAATAATTTTGTCCACCAAAGCTAGGGACAAATGGAAAGAAATCACCTAGTTTTTGCATCTGCCAGTAAGTTAGGATATTGTGTGCCCTCTAAGAAGGTATAAAGCTAGTAATAGACAATGATTAGATAGTTTACATGAAACTATGATGTCTTCACCATTTCCCATCCATGCTATCATTTCCAACAAATATTTGACGAGTTATGAATCCTTCACACGACATGCTAGAAAAAATTGACTTCTACTTCCCACATATCTAGCTTTGCTATGCCAGTGTTTCATATGTGGCCATGAATGATTTATCACATTAGGAGGAAAGGACTGAAAACAAATAAGTGACTCCTCCGACTCTTATGTGGACCATATGGAAAGAAAGAAAAAAATCCAAGGGCGTTCAAAAGATAAAAAATGCTTCGGGTCAGAACAAAGGAACTTCTGATGTTATTGTAAATATTTTGGAGCACCAACGAGATTCAAATAAGTATATAGATGATTGGACGTTCATCGTTGAGGTTGGTACTTCTAATCTAATTCACATTCTCAACCTTTTGTATACACCTTGTATGTGGGATCATTTCATATCAAAGACAAGTACTATGTGAAACAACTAAAAGATACAAAAATGAAAAGGCAGAATCTAGGCAAACATTTGGCCATAGATTTTTTGAAAATTTATCTTTAAATATCTGTTCGAACATGAAATTTGATCAAATTTCAAGTTCTAGACCAGTTTTTGGGAAAAATTTCACTTCCACTCACAAAACTTCAAAAAAAAAATCAAGTAAAATGCATGTCCAAACACAACTTGACAAAAACTCAAATTTTCAAGTTTCAATTTCAAAATCTATGGCAAACTGGAGCTAGATTTCAGGAAGACAGATTCAGTAAGAGAGTGAAAAAACTACCTGCAGCTGCTGCTGCACGAGGCCATATGGTTGTTTCAATGTTTGATCCATCAATATGCTCACCCCACATACAAATTTCACCCCCGATAACCAGCCGTTGTTGTTCAGGCTTTGTAATATTAGTTAGTGGCTCATTTGAATAGAAATCCTGCCATGTGGTATCAATATGGTCCAAATACCACTTGTCCTGGTTGCTAACAATGCACCGCAATCCAGCTGCAGTTACTTGCTGAGCAACACCGCCCCCGAGCCTGCCATATATAATACAAGCACAAGGTTAGTCCATCAACTGGTTTTAGGAAAAGTTTTGCAACCGACTGTGTAACGCCTTATTGCTCACTTTTTGTATCCCAAACCCCACTTGTGGGATTACACTGGGTATGTTATCATGAATTTCACAAAACTAGACATACCCAATGTAGTCACACAAAGTGGGGTCCAGGGAGGGTAGAGCGTACGCTGACCTTACCCCTACCTCAAAGGTAGAGAGGTTTTTTCCAAAAGACCCTCAGCTCAACGACAAATAGTCCAAAGAAGTCCCAAAAAAAAAAAAGTAACAGAAGTAGAAGAAATAGCAGATAGAAACAGAACCGTAACTACAACAAAAATAATATGATAATCGAAGTATAAGAAACAATAGATAGTAATAGAAAATGAAGGACAAGAAACTACAAGAGCAATACTACAACTACTAGTATGGACGGATATCAAGACAACAAACTGCTACCTGCTACCCTAATCCTGGGTTAGTCTTCATATTCGTCATGGATAAGAATAAAGGAAATGAAAAAAGACAACAGATATATGAACTAATATGGACCTTCCAGCTTATACCACACGACAAGAGGACGTACCAGTTGTGTACTATTGTTTTTGGGCTCAACTTATTTCCAAAATTATTGAATGTCTCTTCCCTGCAAATTTGAATATGATAAGTTAAAAACCAGTTACTGTTAGAAATCTCATAATGAAAGTCCTTCTTACCAGTTGATAATTTCGTATCCATGGGATAAAGCTATCTTCTGTGCTCGCAAGACAAAGTACTCATAAGCACTGGTTCCATTCAACCGGTGTTGCTTCAACCTGTCAAATAGAACATGTTTATTATTTTGATGGTCAGACGAACTTGTCAAAGGGATATTGAGACTTGAGAGAAGAGAATTCTACGTTATCCAAGTGGAATGCAAAGTTCATTAGCAAAAGCATTGAAGAAATTTAAATCATAGAAGTGATGAAGAATGATTTAAAAATATATACTTAAGAGATGGGTGAACCGGCGAAGCGCAAAAGGAAAGTAAACTAAAATCTCAGCTTCAAAGGGCAAAATTTTTACCACTTGCTTATACGAGGAGTTAACGTCCAGCAACCTGCAGGAAACAAATAATTGCACGTTTCAGTAAACATTACCTTTAAGTTGCTGAAAGTTAAAGTCAGAAACAGTACAAGCAGAAAATATCAATACCCGTGTAAGATAGATTGAAACTAAAGTCAATGCCCAATACAAAAATATATGTGTCTAGTATATTGCCAAAGGCACATGAAGATGTATTATTACTTTAGTAGATAGATACCTTTTGTAATAATTTCTTATGCATTTCACACGTCAAATTCATGCAACTACCGAATTTGAACTATTAAGATTCGATTTCCTCACTACTATCCTTTCAGAATTAAAAGCTCAAGGACATGGTAAATTTTTGCACTAAAGGATTTAAAGTTATGTGGTCGTTGGTCGATCATTGCTACATTCTCTGTCATGTTAATAATCTACATTGTAGAAGACCACCTTCAATAAGCTCGCGCATATAAGCAACACCTATGAATAAATAAGCTGAATTCGGAGTGCTGAGCAGAGAAATGCTTTGGAGCCTGGCAGAGTATATTAGTCAACAAAATACTTGGGAGGGTACGATAATATTTTTTCTACGCTACACGTTTTTGAAAATTCACAAACAAAGATAATTTGTGTTCTAACAGAATCAATTGAGCTCCAAAATAGATCAACATCCTTCACACTTTCACTATCAAATGCAACAGCATGCTTTTATGTTCACACAAAAATCATACATCAGGATAATATTTCTTCAAACAAAAATGATAGTCAGTACAGTTGTCTGAACATGGAAACTTACTTGTATCCACTTCATCACCTCCTAGATGAACAAATTTGTACTTAAATATCTTGCTAAAATCTGAAACACAGAAAAGTTTCCAAACCATGAATGGATTATTATTTTGACTCACGAGGGTCGTAAAGTGACATGCAACTGAGCTTTACCTGAGAGAATCCCATCTATTAATTTGAAAGTGAAATCACTGCTCACATCAAGTGGTTCTTGACAGTTTTTGGACGGCCATAAAGAAGGATAACCAATACCCCTGAAATTGAACACTTGTTAGATTGGTTAAATGGGAAGCCCGGTGCACTAAGCTCCCGCTATGCATGAAGTTCCAGGGAAGGGTCGGACCATCAGGGTCTATTGGTTAAATAGGAATGAAAAAAAAATCTCGTTGACATTTCATTCAATAACTAATATCCAAATAGAATGCCATTCCATACCAAGATTTAGCATGTCCTGGAACGTCTAATTCAGCTAATACATTGATTCCACGCCTTCCTGCATATCTGCAACTCTTAAATGTTTACATGGATCAGCAAAGCGTCATTTGCACATCAAAAGCCAAGGAAGGAAGAAAGAAAAAGCATGAAAGAAATAGCTTGCCTCACAATCTCGGAAGCATCAGCTACGGTATACCTCTCTGAACTTGAGTAAGCACCATTCCACAGTTTCGGAAATGAAGGTATCTCGAGTGGGAATGATTGTGTATCTACAATGTGCCAGTGAAGCACATTCTGAATAGAGAAAATTGTGAGGATCAGAGACTTGATAATCAGAAAGAAGTAAGATATAAGCATTTCATTCCACGAAGGGCTGCCAACAGGCATCGAAGAGTTTCTAGTGGCATCATCAATGTGCTAATTCAATAAGAACTTGAACAAGTAGTTGAACTGTCACACTTTATGTGCGAGAGAGGTAGGGTGATATTTAGTAGGCATGTAGTCTCTTATTATTCGGTGTGTATAACTACTTGTTGTCTCATTTGCTTTGTATCTTTCTATTTTATTGTCATATTACTCTAGCAATTCTGCTTCGGAAACATATCTTTTGAGCCGAGGGTCTATCGAAAACAACATCTCTACCTCACAAAGGTAGGGGTAAGGTCTGCTACATCCTACCCTCCCCAGAAGTCCCTAATACGTGGGATCTAACAATATTGCACAGCTTCCAAGTTTCCAAGGGCGAGGATGCAAAGAACTCCACATAAAAACATAGATGTTTTGTACAAGAAGATTTAGATAGACATGAAGTAAAAGATTATTAAGAGGTCTAGAAAAGAAGTAGCCAGAGAGTTACCATACCAGTTTTGCATAAGCCATCGAATCAATGACCTTCAATATCACAGGCAACGGCAGATAGTGACGGGAAGTGTCTGTTAGACAATTAAGGATATCAGTATTTTAAGTTAGCAAGAGATCTTGACAGAATATGATGTGGTAAAGGCACAAGATAAGGTCATTCACACTGCACTCTCTTAACAGAGCTAAATCTAGGAGAATGCAGTTGAGCACTGAATTCAAATGAGAATTTTTCAGATGTAGGAGAGTTTCCAAGTGAAAACAAACACACCTTGCTGGCATGGTTTCTTATTTCATTGAATTCCTTGCTTGGATAGTATTCATTATGTTAAACTAGAAAAGCAAGATCAAATAAGTAAATGTAACCCTCCTATAATTATTAGAAAAGTTCCTCACCAATTAAAAGCCCTCGATAAGAAAATCTTGGCCGATCAACAATGGTCCATGGAACTTGATGAACTTCAATTGATCTGGTTGTAAGGTTAAAATGGCATGCTTGACTAAATGTCTGTCTTGATGCCAAAAACAAACATTAAAGCATCTAACCAAAGCAAACATATACTTGACTAAGTACTGACAGCTTTTTAGCTCAAGCGGAAGCATCAAACCTGAAAACCATGCAAAGCACCATAAACTGTTTTTGCCTGCATCAAATCATGACTATCAGATAAGATCCTACAGTGAGAACAAGCGTAAAACAATCTCTCACTGTCCAACCATATAAGCACAGACACAAGCTGACAGATAGCATGTGCACCTGTTTTTAAAAAAGAATGTCTCTAAGGGAGTATATTCCCCAAATACCAACCGAAATTTGTTTGGTTAGTGAGTTTCTAATTCAATAAGTAACCACAAAAAGTGTAGAGGAACGGCATGCGTGACATTATGATGCACTGAAGTACTAGATAACTAAGCTAACAAAGTTCACCTTTAAAAATGTTTCAGCTATGAAAGAAGAATTATTAACTGTAACTTAGCCTACTGATTTTGGCGAAAATCACTTTAAGATGTATCGTAGAGTATATGATACTGCAGAAAAGTTACAGGGAAATGCATTTGATTGTACAAATATATTTTTTTTAAAGAGATGCGCCATATTATCAACACAAAAAAAACTGATAACACCTACCGTCAAATATGCAAAGGCTGGGTTTCCTTTTTCTGGTATGGTTAAGTTGTAGGATTCATCAACACCGTACTGCAGCTGCATTGCACAAGGTTTTTTTCAGTTGGTTTAGAAAATGAATTCAAGTAAAAAAATCTACCAACATAAATTGAACATAATAAAAGCACCTGAAATATTTAAACATCATTTGACTGATAATTGGTTAGAATTCAAAGTCCTAACGTGTGATCTGCCGAACACTTTGGTGGTTCACTCCAGTGAATAAAGGATGTGACCCACAACTTTCAAGAGTTCGGGTTGATTTAAAACCATTTGAATGCAAAATATTATATGGAGTAGTTTTTTTTTTTTGGTAACCACATATAAATTGTGACAAAGGGAGTATCTTGCACTGAGGATCTCTAATGAAATGAACAAAACATGATTGGAAGCTTGTCTATCATGGACAGAGTGACAAAGCTCTTCCAAATACTACTTTTTTCCTTTGACAAAGCTATAGTTCATTCAGATGCAGAACCATTTACCAGTTAAACAACCGAATAACGACAAATTAAATGACCAAGCTCAAAGCAAAGAACGAATCGCTACGAGATCAATACCTCATCGCTTGGAGAAAGGACGATCACTTGGATTCCCTTTAGCACCGGAGAAGGACCGTCATATGAGAAGTTGGCGTCAACGACATGAGCTACCTTTATGACATCAAGTAACCTTGAAAAACTTTCCTTGAGAATTCCAGAGGCATCAGGGTACTTGCTGCCTTCAGTCTTGAGCACAAACTCATTACTAAGTTGAAGATTCCTATGTCCATAGCTAACCGATAATGGCATTGGCCATATCTTCAAATTCTTAATGTCAGCAGCAGCTGATATTACTAGAATGTGAACCACAACAGCAAATAATACGCTTCGCAATCCTAACATCCCCATCACTATAATATAGCAACAATACAAGTCGAACGAACACAATCAGAAATTCAACTATACAACAAACATAAGAAAATTATGACATCAGCTATAAGTAAAAGGGAAGCCATTTAGAACTTGAAAGAAAATTACATCAGGGATACGGGATGGGGATTACAAGGTGGGGAATTGAACCCTCACTAATAAAGTGAAAGTTCAGCTACTCAACCAACCGAGCTGCTAAGATTCCACGGTCATTCGAAACTTAGGCCACTTAGCTTACAAGAAAAACCAAAATTCTAATACTTTTAGTAAAGCATTGGAATAATAAACTGATAAAATGCAAGAAGAAGAAAAAAATCAAAAACTAAAACACCCCAAACACCATTCTCACCACATATACATGTAAAAAGAAATAAACATCTATCAGGGAAATGCAATTATCAGCTTCTGTCCCACCCCAAATGGGCAAAAAGTACCAATCTTGATAAACACAACCATAAAAAAAAATGCAGCATTTATTACTAATTGAAGTAAAAAAGAACCCCATTCTTTCAAATCAAAGAAAAGAACAATCTTTACACTTTCTTCACACATACAACTAAAAATCAAAGTGAAGTGAAGCAATCCATTCTATCAAATCAAAGAAAAGAACAATCTTTAACACTGTTTGCCCCAAAAAACAATCTTTATACTAATTTAACATACTTACAGATACTGAAACCAAACTGTATAATCAAGAAAGTTGAAAATGTGGTTCTTCAGAGAGCTTCAAAATAAAAAATCTTGAAACCCCAAGTCTAATAATGTTAAATAATCAAAAGGGGATCAGGCAAATATATAAGAGACATTTATTAGTTGAACAACTAAAGAGAGCAAGTGGGAAACAGATACAGAATGCAATTATTAGTAATATATTCACATTCATGGGGTAATGTTGAATAGATTTCAAAAAAGTTATTGTATTATTTATTATTATTATTACCTTATTATTATTATTATTAAACATGAACTTGTAAGTTGTAACCATTGTCTTGTAAGAAAAAGACATTGGTCCCTAATGATTCTCTCTTCTGCACAAGCCTTTTCCTTTGTTTTTTTCTTAGTTAGCTCGGTGCATTAAAGCTCTCGTAATATGTGAGTCAGAAAAAGGTATAAAAGTATTAAAATCACTTTTGAACTAAACGCAAATTATTAGCACCTTTGAACTATTGATAGCTTTAAAAACATAGTTCTTTTCAATTAATTAAACTTAGATACACCCTCAATCTGTCACATGACATAACAAGTGGTGTTAAACTCTTGTTAGAGCATGACATCTTAATAAAAAGCCAAGAAAGGTGTTGAATATATCCCTAAACTTAGCCGAAATTAGGGGTGTATCTCACTCATGTTACAATATCGGAGGTATATTTATGTTTATTTAGTCAAGTAAATAAGTGTTTTAAGATTGTCACTGGTTCGAAGGATGAAACTAATAATTCACAACGAATTTCAGAGTGTTTTCAATACTTCTCTTTGAGTTTTATTATATGCCATCTTATTTAATATTTTTGTAATAGGACTTAATATTTTTAAATTAGAATAATTGTACTTGTAGTTCCTCAGTTATTAATAAAATATATGTTTTGGACCCACTATATTAGAAACGTATAATAATTCAGTTATGTTTTAGTTATATTTACTGTTAATAATTATGGAGTGACTCTACAATTTGACATGGCATATGGATAATTTTTTATTTTTTTTCTCCACATATGGATAATTGAGTGGTTAAACAAATTGATGATCTTACAAATAAAATATAAACGCGTATGTGCATACCTTATTTCAAACTTTGTAGAACAAAAATATTATTTACAATAGACATTGAATAATCATAATAAATTTATATAATATGTGAAGAGATCAAAAGTATATGTTTCAATTAATTAAAATTGTATATGTTTGACCAAATATTACAAACACTGCTATTTGAATTTGTCAAAAACCAAAAATAGAATTATTCCATTTAAAGTGGATAAGGTATGTACTGTCACAAAAGATAAAATAGGAAAGGAAATAAAGTTCATGTGCTGTTTTTATTTATAGTACAAACGTATAACTACTTTCTTTGAAGGAATTAAAATGCATAATATATAAACATGACCCTTAATTTGACGTTAGTTGGCAACTATAATCTTTAATTTTGGGTAGACACTTAAACTTGTATAAAATTGAACAAATAGACACATTCGTTCTACATGACCCTTAATTTGACGTTAGTTGGCAACTATAATCTTTAATTTTGGGTAGACACTTAAACTTGTGTAAAATTGAGCAAATAGACACATTCGTTCTACATGACACCCTACATGACAATTTTGTGTCCTACATGGCGTCCTACGTGTATTATGTCATGTAGGACATGTGTGTCTACTTATTCAATTTTATACAAGTTTTAGTGTCTACTTGTGCACACTCAAAATTGGAGGGAATAGTTATCCGTTGAAGCCATGATTATGTATTATGAACAAAATTTAATTTTTTATTCTTTAATGTTATAAAAAAAATTGAAAAATATTATACTAAATGTTACTATGGACTTAGAAATTTTAAAGTCAAATATTAAGATTGATATGAATAATATATTAAAATATTTGACTAATATCTTTAGACTTCTTGTTTGTAATCTTAGAAATTCTATTTCGATAAAGATCGTTAATTGTTATACTACCAAGAAAAAACTATCTTATATAAAAAAATAATTTTATAAAGAGTATATTGTTCTAAGGGTGAAGGGTGTTATTATAAGTTTTTTAAAAAAATTGTCATAAAAGTATTATATACATTAAAATCAAATTATCCTATTTGTCGTTATCATTTGACACGCTATTTTTATATTTTTTTAATATGATAAGTTTTCAACTATCTTTATGATTCTTTTCTATCAATATTTAATTAAATTTAAAATAAATTATTACAAATACAAAAGCCAACAGTGTAACGTATGGATCAGTGGATAGTGTGAATAAAATATTGTATTCGTGAGTCGTAATTATGTCAATTTGTATTAACTCGTGAATCGTGACTAAGTCAACTCATTCACGTTTAATATTTATATTAATTTAATAAATATATATTATTATTATTTATGCAATTAAATTGATATTGATAATCATAATTAATTGGTACACATTTCACCTCACTTTTATCATCAATCATAACATAATATATTAGTAAAAGCATTGAATGTAAATAAGTTTTTTCTTCTCTTTTTTTTTTTTGTTTAGTGTTTTGTTTCTTTTTTCACTTGTTATTTTATGTAAATTACTTGTTCATCGTCCACTTTTTTATTAATCAAATATCTCAATACAAATATCAAAAATCAATAAAAAATCACAATAAAATTAAAAAATATTCATCTCTTATTATATAAGAGAGAGTTCTCCTAAAGCAAGCACGTCTCCGTCGACGTGCCTGCTTCAGTGTGTTTCGGAAAAAAAATTTATTTCTTTCGTTCTACTTTAATTTAATCAATGTATAATTTTTTCCAAAAGAATTTAAAATTTTATTTCTTTTGTTCTGCTTTAGTTTAATTAGTAAAAAAAATTGAAATTATGTAATCAGTTTTAGCTATGAGTTTTAGTTTTAATATTCTATAGTTATTACTTTATTATTTTGAATTTCAATAATATTTATTTATATCTTATAACTATTTTGAGTAAAATATCAATAATTGATGACAAAAATTTAAGTATGGACATTAAAATAAAATAAAAATATTAAAATATTAGGCTTGTGCCGCGCAGGGACACCTGTGTCTAGTATTATATATATATATATATTTATAATCCATGACCATGTGCCAATGAAAATGCCAAGTTCACAGCGTCCATATATCGTAACTATATAAAATATTTAGAATGATTAATTGTAAAAAATATTAGAAAAGTTTAGGGAATCGTGCTTCAAAATTGATCTTTCAAAGATTTGCTTAGTTGTGCTGAGCACGTGTTCCAAAAAAAAAAGTTACATTTTAATATTTAGAAACATAATTTTAATTTTTTTATTTTATCATGAAATAATTCATAACCAACACAAATATCCGAGATTTATTTTAAATCACAAATTTTAAAAAAAAAAAAATCTTCAGATTACATGTCTAACCAAACGATGTCACGTAAATTAAAATGGAAAGGGAAGAGTAAAATTGAAATTTACAAATTATATTTCAATGTGGAAAAAATTCTCTTGTTACATGTGTTATAGTTGTACTTAGTTTAATTTTTATTTATGTACAAAGCAAGTAAAGTAATAAAATAAAATACCAAGGATACAATATAAATTTAAAATACTCATATAACACAAGTGGAATTAAACAAAAGGTAGTAATTGTAACAAATTCAAACTCTTCATTTGTATTAAAAAAAAAAAAATTAGAACTCAAGTAAAGCTTTGTCAGATTATTAAATAACAATTAAAAATTTATTGAAATAACAAATAATTAAGGATGACAATAATAATGAGATGAGAAGCTTAGACTCTACGAATGATCCGAAGATGAGAGAAATAAGACTCTTTACTTAACAATTAACATAATCTTTTAAAAAAATCCGCAAGCAATAATTTGATTATTCGCTTTGCCACTTGTTTCCTTACTCAACTTGGATTTCAAGCATATTTATTAAGGGAAAACTACGCGGTTAAGCAAATTTATACTATTTAATTAGTCATCATAGCTATAGTTTGCTATAATTATCATTCGTGATTAACATTAACCGTTAATTACGTGGGCTAGGTTCGAGTTTGTATAATTAGTTTCGTTTATATATTTCGCCACATTTGTATAATTTGCAAATAACAATTCTCCGTTTGATTTGTGTTTGTAAACAATGGTTTGTACTTGTGTGACGATGATTTCTTTGGTTTTTCAGTTTTATCAACGCATACATTCAATCTTTTTTTGTATAACTTTTTAAAGTTTGTAGAAACGTATAGTTTTCGGATTTTGTATAGTATAATTTACATAATGTAATTTGTATAATATAATTTGTATAATTGTTTAAAGTTCATATGTTTATGTTTGTATCAATTCATTATTTCGAGTTTATCATATTTGTATAATTCCAGAATTTGTATTACTCAATTATACAAACGAGATGCGAATTATACAAACGAGATGCAAACTATACAAATTGTCATCATCTCTCGCTCGCCTCTCTCCTCCCTCTCCCAATCTCGCTCGCCTCTCTCCTCCCTCTCTCATTCTTGCTCGCCTCTCTCCTCCCCTAACATGTTGATATGAATCGTAATTAGCAAACTATAGCTAATAGAGCCTAATTAAGTTATTTTGAGTGGCTATATGCGAAATTTTTCAATTTTTTAATTATGTGCCTAGAACAATAAATCAAGAATTTATGTGGCAATACTTGATTTTTTTCCAGTTACGTTTATTTCCTACTCTAAATAATCAAGGGACCAAAGTTCGCTATGTAAGTGCTTGCACATTAATTTACTAAGAATATACATACATAACATCAGGAAATGAACCAACAAATGTGACGATCGGTTGGTAAGTACTCATTCACCCATAACAAGAGATAATTGTCTTTGTTAGAGAGCATTTTTACCCCTAATATAAGATTTCTGAGTGTTTATCTGAACTTAATTAGTTCGACCACAATCTGTAAGACTTCTCAACACAAATGAAAATTTAATCAAATTCTAATACAGACATTGATTATCGAGTGAAAAAACTAAAAAGTTTATCAAAATATGAAATACCCTACCATTGAAATTAGGGAAAATGATGCGTATAAACAAACATTTACTAGTTAATTAGTTAACATAATTATAGTTTGCTTTAACTACAATTCGCGATCTATTTTTAACTATAATTACGCGGGTCAACTTTTTAGTTTTGTATAATTCACACGTTTGTATAATTCGGAATTTGTATAACTGTTTACACTTCTGATGTTTGTAATTGTATAAATTCTTCATTTCGAGTTTATACAAAACTAACTGAATTATACAAATGTACTCGCGGATTATACAAATTTGCGAATTATACAAATCCATGAATTATACAAACGAGAGCCCGTAATTATGCAAACTATAACTATGGAGCATAATTAAGTTTATTATAGTGTCTATTTGTGAAAGTTCTCCTTGAAATTATATGCATTTATGTAGATCCTTTTCCCAAAATAGATTATATTTTTCCCCAAAGTTGCATGAGGATATATATAGAGAGAGAGTGAAGTACAAGTAAAGTTCTTCTACTTTTTGGATGGGCCGACTTTGAATACTTTAAAGCCCAAAACTATAATGATCTTGATCAAATTTAGGCCCACTTTAGCAAAAGTCTATTAATTTGTAACCACTTTTACATTTTGGTGGATATTAGCTTATTCTTGTATTTATTTTCTCTAATTAAATTCATCTAGAAAAATTAAAACTCATATGAAGGAACGATGGCACGCACATATATTGATTTTTTGTTTGGGACTGAGATATAGTAATTATTGTTTTTTTATATGAATGATTCTATACATTGAGAAATTACGCAGTGTAAACTTTCAATATATTTTTGTAAAAGTTAGAGTGAATAATATCTTAATACTTTTTTTTGGAAATATATGCTTTATTTAGAGGTAATTACTAATTAGAATGATAAAATACACGCACATACTTTTTATAGTATTATTGTTTTTAAATGCAGGTCATTAATGCAAAGATTAGGTCATCCTAAATCAAAATATAGCTATCAAGAGCAAAATAAGATTTGTGGATTTAATCACTAAGAATAGAGTTAAAGAATATTATTTTTTTTACCATATTAAACTTTTAATATTTCCTTCAATATTTATACCTAAGCAAATATTGACGGACTTTATAAAAATTATTTTGAACATTTATCGAATTATTAAAATAATTTAATAGATAATAGAATTAATATAAATCTAGTTAAACCAAAAAATGAACTCATTTTTAATGATTGTTCTTATTATGATAGACACTTTGACCGAATAATACATTTTTTCTTTGTGTGATTGATGAAGACTTAAATTTGCAAGAAGGGATGGATTGATTTTTATTGAAAAGTATATAATAAAACGTCATCATAATAATTGTATTAATTAATTTATTCCTTTAAATAGATATTGTTGAAAAATGAAACATAAAGAATCTGATATATACACGTTCCACGTAGCAATGTAATAGGCAAATTCTTCTTCATATGATATAATATGAATAATTATATTATTTTTTTGCCGACCTATCATCTATATTTGAAAAATAAAAATAAAGTTAGACTTTTTTTTCTTTCTAAAAACACACACAAAAGAATTGGGGTAAAGAGATTACAAGATGCGTATTCAACTCTCGCTCATTAGGTGAAAAACTAAAAGTTTAAATAGTCAATTAATTTTTCAACGAATGAATGAAGTTTGACTTAGAAATGGTATTCTAAAATTCATGATGTATTACTCTTTTCGTTCGCTTTTAATTTATTTGTCCATTATATGAAAAATAGATGTTGATTTTTATTTGTTTAGTTTAAAAAACCAAGAGTTACTTTAACGTTTAAATGACTTATAATAATTGAAAATGATAAAGTAAAATTATCATTTCACTTAATATTTCTTAAAGGAATATGTCAAATCGAATATGAAGAAATAAATATAGATAAAGGAAGGATAAATTATACTCTAATATCCTCCAAATATCTTTTTTTTTTTTTTTTATTCGGCGTTTGATACTTACATTAAAATTCTTATTAGATTTGAATTGACGTCAAGAAATTTCATATTAAATAATAAAATCTCTAACAAAAACGACTCCGTACTTTGAAGAATTCCAACCCAACATCGTGTCACCATAATAATTGTTAAACTACTATTAAGGAAATAATATTTTATATATAGTTGAGCAATTTCGATAATTGATATCTTATTATTTATAGGTGAACAAAGATGTTTTAATATTGAGAATCATCCCATTTTTATATTATTTTATTAGAAAGTAAAAAAATTCAAGTCAAACAATATTTTTCTTATTATATAATATTCTTACATTTGAAATAAACATAAATAAACTTAGATTTTGTTTTAATAAAAGGAAAAAGAGTAACATTAATATTATTTTTTTCCAAAAAAAAAAAAGAAATAAAAGAATTATGAACAAGAAAAACATAAATGCATGGTCTTAATATATACCAATTGTTATCCATAACTATCTCTAGAAATTTCAATGATAAAGTTTTTAATTTAACTAATAATGCTATATTGCTTCCAAATATTATTCAATTTAGAATCAAATACCAAATAAATTTACAAGAAAAGAAAAGGTAAGATAATGTTTGTCCCATAAGAGAATTACATGGAAAATGACAATTTCTAAATAATTCATTTAAATTTTCATTTCGAAGAGACATGTGTCCTACGACAATAATGATAATGACTTATTGTTACTCAATTAATTGACAAATGTCTTATAGAAAACAACTTATCAATGCCAAACCGATGCCCCGCAAAGATGCCCAAATTGATTGAGTAGGTGATCTCCCAATAGAGGGAAAGGAGGGCACCTTCACGCTTGAAACCCCCTCTCGATTAAGTTCGTCGCACAAGCTTGCTTAGTGTGTGTAATTTGAACGAACTTGTTACACTAGCTTGTTTAGTGCGATTTACTTCTTTCATGTGGTTTGGAGACTTGTTTTCGAATTGGATAGTGATGTGGCTGTCAGTTTACATGTCAATAAGAAAATATTCAAATAATAAATTTTCGTATGAATATATGAAGCAAATAATACAACAGAACAATATAACTTATCATATCCTCATAATAGAAACTCAACATTACGTAATTACTCAAAGTAGGCAGTTGACTATAGGTTTCAAATATATTTTACTTTAATTAAAATTTAATCGAGTCAAAGCTAAATTGTATTTGATTATACTTTTAAATTCGTATCTCAATTTCTAACTCCGCACCCGACTTTAAATACCTTCTTTTAAAATAAGTGCAATTAACATTAAAAATCATAAAAGAACAAAAAGAATAAAAAGACAGAATAATAATGAAAATTAAAAAATAAAAAGAATAATAACATAAATTCAACTTTTTTTTTTCTTTCTAATAAACCCCTTTATCTTCGTTGTTATGTCCAAAATCCCCCAAAACAATTCTCTAGATTTTCGCGATAATCTTCTACCGAAATGGATTCTCGAATCGACGACGACGACGGCGATCTTCTAGCTTCTAGTTCAAATACCTCCGGTCGCCGGAATTATCATTGTTACAGTGAAAAATTCGTTTTCAACTCCGACTCCGATTCCGACGACGTCGCCGGCGCCGGAGATGTCAATAGAGTCGGAAGTTCCGGCAGGAAATTTAGCTTCGATGAGACGGAGCGAACTCCGAAATTGTTTGACCGGTTCTACGGCTCTTCATCTTCTGATGATGAGGAGTTCAGTTCCGGTTCAGGTCAAAATGGCGTTGTTCGGAAACGGCTTGATAATATGATTCAATTCCTTGACCGTAAGATTTGTTCGGAAACAGCTGCTTCTAATAGTAATAGTAATGTTAAGAGTCAGTCTCAAGGTCTTCCTGAGTTTTCAGGTAAAGGTGGTGGTGCTGGCATTTTCAAGTTGCCTGTACGTGCCGCAGTGCATCCTGATCGTCCGCCATCATTGGAATTACGGCCACATCCGTTGAGAGAAAGGCAAATTGGGAGATTTTTGAGGACTGTATTGTGTACGGACGATGGATCTCAGCTATGGGCTGGGTCGGAGTGTGGAGTTAGGTTGTGGAATTTGTCGGATATGTATGAGGCTGCTCAAGAAGAAGAAGAGAATGAGGACTTTGAAGATGCTGCACCTTTTCTGGAGTCTGTTAGGACTTCACCAACGTTGTGCCTTGTTGAAGATGCTGGGAATAGGTTGCTATGGAGTGGACACAAAGACGGTAGAATCATGTGTTGGCAGATGGACAGTGAAACTAGCAGTAGAGAGAAAGGTGCTTGTGGAAAAGCTGCTTTGAAAGAAGTGTTATCGTGGCAGGCTCATCGCGGTCCAGTTCTTTCCATGATCATGACTTCCTATGGTAAAGTTAGAGTTTTTTTTGGCATACCTATCTGTGCAATTGCATCAACTGTGCAATGTTTGTGTTGTGTAAATTGCAAGTAGTTTCTATATTGCATTTTTGGCACTTTCGATTCTAAACTTTGGTTATGTAAGCCCTTGAATGTGCTTGATCATCTTATACGAGCTGTTAAAAAAGTTCATGCTTTTATTATTCTGCGATTACAGTAGTAAATAGGCAGTCGGGTAGGCAAAGCCTAGGATAAAAGATCACTCATATACTACTTTTTTTTACCTTTGGTGCTGAAGGAACAAAAATGTACTTGCAGAATTTTTGCAGGTCAAAGTGAGGTTACATATCAGTTAGCTGCAACTATTAAATTGAAAGGGCACTACCTATCTGTCTGAATAGTTTGCCAAATCACTTTAGCTTTCAATAAATAACTCGAATTTTAGAATATTTCATCTTTTTGACAAGTTTTAGGGTCATTTCATGTGGTTTGCAGGGAAAATTAGGAGATTATAAGATAATGTTGATTTTCCCAAAACACTTAATTACTTATCAAAAAAATAAAATAGAAGAAGAAGATAAGTTCGTATAGTGTAGGCGTTAAGATGCTATTGTATTTATGATGAGATAGGATTAGGAGGGTTGTTAGTCATGTTGTAGTGCAATGGTGTTGGAGAATTTATATCCCTTACTAGAGAGAGAGAAACTTTAGCTATACTCTGTGTTATCCAGTTCAATGGCCGTGATCCTTCCCCACAAGTAAGCAGTTCAATGTAGCCCAGAAAACAACTTGCTATCATGATGGCTGCTACTGAAAGAAAGAAGAAGCTCTGAGCTTGCAGCCTCTCTTCTGCTACCAGAAATAGTGTAGATGGATCTCCTTTTCACTCTTGACTTGCAGTGTGATGCACTGATATCCAAAGTGGCCTTCTTGGTGTCTTTTTTCTTATTGATGAGTAAAAGTAGTTCCATTTAAAAGGGGAATGGCATAGTGCCGGTTTTAGAATCAACAAAAAGTAAATGTTAGTGGTAGTAGTAACTCAAGAGGGTGTGCTTTCTTTTACGTATCTTTATAAATAAAAAAGGGTGTGCTTTATTCTGTTCTGATGTGCAATTTTGTTTAGGCGATCTGTGGTCTGGATCTGAGGGTGGTACCATCAAGATCTGGCCTTGGGAAGGAATGGAGAAATCGATTGCTCTGATAAATGAGGAAAGGCACATGGCTGCTTTGTCGATAGAGAGGTCATACGTGGATCTAAGGAGCCAAGTTATGCATAATGGAACAGGCAATAGCATATTTTCTGTTGATGTCAAATATATGCTGTCTGATCGCTCTGGAGCAAAAGTTTGGACGGCTGGTTATGTGTCATTTGCGCTTTGGTAAGTACCTTCTGAATCATTTTGGAGACGAAGTTCTCCATTTATGTTGTTTTGGTAGTTTTTGCATTGTTAACACCATTTACTTTAGAATCACTTAATGTTACAATGAACAAACTTAATAATGGTATGCTTACCACCTTTGAATTCGATTAATCCTCCGCCATTCATCAATACACTCACAGAGGCATGTCTTTAGTTTAAGATGGATGTGCTAGTCTTAAATTTCTGTCATATTGTTTCGGGCATGTGAAGAGGAGGTGTGCGGATGCATCAGTAAGGAGTTTCTTGACTATAGCAAGAGTTAGGAGAGGTAGAGGTTGGTCAAAGAAACATTGGCGGAGGTGATTAGATAGGATATGACAACTTCAGATCACTGAGGACACGACCCTTCATAGGAAGGTGTGGAGGTTGAGGATCAGGTAGAAAGTTTGTAGATATCCGAGTGTTGTCGCCCGTTAGATGGGAGAGGCAGGGCACTAGCCCATCTCCTCACAACCTTATTAGTAGTATTGACTCCGTCCATTTTTACTTGTCTAGTATTGACTTGGCACACCCTTTAAGGAGCAATAAATAGATTGACAATTTTACTGTATCATCCTTTGAATATAATAAATTCAATGCTTTGTGTGAAATGATTATTTAATAATAAGGGTAAATTTGGAACTAAATGATAAATTATCTCTTGATTTTCTAAACTAGACAATTAAAAATGGATATCTATTTTTAGTATAGTGGATAAGTAAAAGTGGACGGATGGAGTAGTATTTTAGTAGTCACGTAGTTTCTTATTCTGGGGTTTATCGGAAACAACCTCTGAGAGGTCTGTGTACACTCTACCCTCCCCAGACTCCACTGTGTTTTGGGACTACACTGGGTATGTTGTTGTAGTTTCTTATTCTTCAAGGTGTTTTACAGTATTTTGCTTTATTTGCTTTGATATTTTGCTGGCATATTTTTCTTGCAACCCTACTTCTAATATCTTCTCTTTTGAGCCGAGGGTCTATCGGAAACAACCAATCTACCCCACAAAGGTAGGGGTAAGGTCTGCGTACATCTTACCCTCCTGAGACCCCACTTGTGGGACTACACTACACTGGATATGCTGTTGTTGTAAACCTGTAGTGCATCTGATAGATTATATTTGCATGTCTAAGGTTTTGCTCTGTTAGATTTTGTGTGTGTTCTGAAATGAAATCTAATTTTCAGGTCATCTGGTTCTGATATGTTGATCGTTTCTTGTCAATTGCTTTTGCCTTGCAGGGATGCACGGACTCGAGAGTTACTGAAAATCTTTAACACAGATGGTCAGGTTGAAAATATATTAGCAGCAGTAGATCCTGTAATTGAAGATGAAATGAGGATGAAAGTTGTGTCCAATTCAAAGAAGGACAAGTCTCAAAGTTCTATCGGCTTCTTTCAGCGTTCACGCAATGCTATCTTAGGAGCAGCTGATGCTGTCCGTAGGGTTGCGGTAAAAGGAGGATTTGGAGAAGATAACCGGAGGACTGAAGCGTTGATCATTGCAGTCGATGGAATGATATGGAGTGGATGTTCCAATGGATTACTTGTCCAATGGGATAGAAATGGCAATCGCTTGCAAGATTTCCAGTATCACACATTCTCTGTTCAATGCTTATGCACATATGGGTCACGGATTTGGGTAGGTTATGCTAGTGGTTATATTCAGGTATTGGATCTTAGTGGTAATCTACTTGGAGGATGGATAGCTCATAGTAGCCCTGTAATAGATTTTTCTGTGGGTGGAGGTTACGCTTTCTCTTTGGCTAATCATGGTGGTATACGGGGTTGGAGTGTGATATCTCCTGCACCACTGGATGGTATTCTGCGTTCGGAGTTAGCTAGCAAGGAATTTTTGTATACTAGGCTAGAGAATTTTAAAATATTGGCTGGTACATGGAATGTTGGACAAGGAAGAGCTTCTCCCGATTCACTTATATCATGGTTAGGTTCTGCAGCAGCAGATGTTGGCATTGTTGTTGTTGGCTTGCAGGAGGTGGACATGGGTGCTGGTTTTCTTGCAATGTCTGCTGCTAAAGAATCAGTAAGATTTCTCTTTCCCTCTTTTCTCCCCATCCCAGCTATCCTCTCTTCTCTCTCTAAACTGGTGTTACTTTCTTCTCTCAGAAATGTCTAGATAGTTGTTCGACTAAGCTATAAAATGGTAAGAACCCTGTAAATGAGAGGAAGAAGTTTTTAATTTGCCAGTGACTATATGGACGAGAAGAGTCGTCAAAGTTTTAGTCACACTTGAAAGTGCTTCTAATGCTCAAGAACATTTATTTTTGTTATCGCATCCAAACACCATATAGTCGCTCATTTTCTTAAGACCATCAAACCTCTCTTGCTGGAGGTAACTTTGTATGCTGAATGATGCCATGGGCAAAATACTGATAATTTTGATTGGTAGCTAGACAGGATAAAAACAAGTTACTACAAAAAGTTCATTTCTTATTAGCTAATCTGCTTTTATATATTTGTGTGTGTGTATTCAACGCAGAATATGAGAACCTTCTAAAGATGCCAGGGTCTAAAGGATGCTAATTCATGCTTGTCTTCTCTCTAGGTTACGTTAATTGTCAATTATTAAAAAAAGTTACATGAATTTTCTTTCCTAAAATCTGATTGACCCTAAGAATGGTCAAAATATCATCTAGTGAGAAACTTATCACTAGAATGATTTCATGATCTACTTGAACATACTGTTTTTCCTTCTGTTCTTTCTCTCAGTGCGTTAGTCCGTGAAATATTATTCTCAATATACCAACTACAGAAATGTCATAAATAGAAAAGCTGGGGTTTGTACTTATCTGGAAAGAAAAGGCGCAAATACAAGGAAATAGATCACCCTGTCCTGATGGTAAAGACAAGACATAACTACTTTATATCATCAAAGTGTCTTTTTAATGTTGTAAATTACATGTAATTTTATATTATGGCTCTAGTTAAACTCAAAGAGCCTTTTTAGGATAAAGATGATGTGATCTAGACTTGCATCTTCCTATTTAGCTGTGGGTTACTTTTTTCTATCCATCCTGGTTTCTGTTATGGCAGTTGCATTCTTTGTTATACTATAACCCTTTAGACATACTAATAAAAGAGATGAAAATTTGTAACATTTTAAAACACATTTCAGATGCAGGTGGGTCTTGAAGGAAGTACTGCTGGTCAATGGTGGTTGGAAATGATTGGAAAAACCTTGGATGAGGGATCAACTTTCATCCGTGTTGGCTTCAGGCAGTTGGCGGGCCTGGTTATTTCTGTCTGGTAGGTATTGCTTATGGATCCTGATTCCAGTGCACAAATCTTGGGTAACTTTTGGTATTTAGCTTTTAAGCTGACGTTGTCAGCTCATACTATTGGGTTCTTTGTGTTCTGCTTCAGAGGACCCACATTAGGTTTCACATGACTTGATATGAAATGTGAATTCAATACATGGCTGGTAACGAGAAGTTTACAATCTTTAGATACCCACATCAAGAATTTTTTCGTCAACACCAACCTCAAGATGCAATATGTTTGTACTAAATAACTTTTCTTTGCATCTTCTCTTTCGACTTATAGCACGAGTTCCAGCTATTTTGCATATGAAAAAAGACAGACCATTTAACCCTAACTCATCCTTTATTCCAATTATGGAACACAATTTGTAGTCAGATGAATGAAGTCAACTTTCCTGATTATTTTGTATGTAAACGAGGGTTTGCACGTTCAATTTGATGTCTATCTTAACAATTTCCTTTTGATGAATAAATGATCTAATGAGCTGGGGCCTCTAACTTCATCAGAAAAAAAAAAAAAAGATCTGGGGCCTCTATTTGTACACATGTCTGATATCTGTAAATCAAAACTATTGTTCAGGGTCAGAAGAAATATTAGTCGTTATATCGGTGATGTTGATGTTGCAGCAGTACCTTGTGGTTTCGGGCGTGCAATTGGGAACAAGGTGTGGTTGTGTTCTCCTTTTTGCTGTTTCTTGATGGATCTAATTATATTATGCTGAAAGTTGAGAAAAAATTAATTGTTTGGTGATGACTAGTTGTATTTAGAAACATAAGAGAACAGAATTAGGTAAGTTATGATTTAGAACTTCTCTCTTACTTGGAATCACCCTACAACAATTCCTAGGCTTTTGTCATAAAATTAAGCATGATTTCTTCCTGGGCTTTTTTGGAATGTCTTGTTGAAAAATGGGCAACATAGGGAGTCTGACCTAAGTCAAGCTTGTGCCGAAAAAGAAAAGCCACCAAAAGTACATTTACAGCTCTTTAATACACTAGAGAAAGGAGCACAATTCTATCAGAATACAATTATTCTAACTGTAAGTTTCTTCATATGAACATTAATAATACTACCATAATCTTGAGCTTCCATTGAAACAATTTATTTGTGCGACCCTTATTATGCAAATGTGGGAGTTACTAATCACCATTCCTTAATTCTTTTGGTGTTTTTGACAAGTATGGATACTATTCTCTTATTTGTGGTATTAATTTTGGTTGAGGTCCTCCACACAGGGAGCCGTAGGATTGAGGATGAGAGTGTATGATCGTACTGTGTGCTTTGTGAACTGTCACTTTGCTGCACATCTAGAAGCTGTCGGTCGCCGGAATGCTGATTTTGACCATGTTTATCGAAGTATGATCTTTAGTCGACCATCAAACTTTCTCAATGTTGCAGCTGGTATGGTGCCATACCTATTCTCAGCTTGCTTGCTTGCCTGCTCTATGTTTTTAATCTGGGTTGCTTATGGTTCTCGGTTGCCATTGGTACTTCTTGTTGCAGCTGGTGTCTCATCTGCGATTCAAATGCTTCGCAGTGCAAATGTATGTACTTACTTAAATTGTACTCCCTCCGTCCCTTTTTAGTTGTCATGGTTCCCTTTTTAGAGTCAAACAATAAGAACTTTGACGAATATATTACGATGTATTTTTTCATCATATTGATGCAAAAAATTGCGATTTATAGTACTTTTCGTATAGTTTTTGATTATGTAAATTTTTAGTTTAAAATATCAAATTAATGTAATCTAATTTAACTTTGAAAATTAGTCAAATTGACTTTCGAAAAGCGCAACATGACAACTAAAAAGGGATGGAGGGAGTAATAGTCTAGTCTATAATAGTCTTCTTAAAATATTTGCTTCCTTCTTTGGAGCAGTATATTTCAATTGGTACAGAATAAAAAAAACATTGAATTATGCTTGTCAGGGTGCGTTTAACTCTGCAGAAGCAACTCCTGAGCTTTCTGAGGCAGATATGGTTGTGTTTCTTGGTGACTTGAACTATCGGCTTGATGGCATTTCTTATGATGAAGCAAGAGATTTTATTTCCCAAAGGAGCTTTGATTGGCTTAGAGAGAGGGACCAGTTGCATACAGAGATGGAAGTTGGGAATGTCTTCCAAGGAATGCGTGAAGCAGTCATCAGATTTCCTCCAACATACAAATTTGAGAGGCATCAAAATGGCTTAGCAGGTACCTGTAGCTATCAGTTCTGCACTTGACTTTCATATTTTCTAGACAGAATGTAAACGCTTCCCTCTCTCACCTGCTCTCTCTATCTCTCTTGCCCTTCCTGTGTTTCTCTCTTCTGAATGTCTGATTTGGTTATAATGTCTCATTTAAAGGGTATGACTCTGGTGAAAAGAAGCGGATTCCTGCCTGGTGTGACAGGATTTTGTATCGTGATAGCCGTTCCACTTCAGGTTCCACTTGCAGCTTAGATTGTCCTGTCGTCTCATCAGTTCTGCAGTAAGTTTTTCATATAATGTTTCTGTGGCTTTTATTTTTCTTCCTCCAGTTCATTTTGTTTTTCTTTGTACTAAGTAAGACCAAAAATTGGTGTTTCATCTTTCATTTCTCTATTTGCTTTTCAATAATTGTCCCCCCCTCCCCCTCCCCCACCCACACACTTCTTCTTTTGTCATATTTATGTGTATCAATCATTGCCCACCATTTCTTCTTTTGCCATCTTTTTCTTTTTGTTTTTTCATATATATATATATTTCTGTTTACTCTGTTCCTACTCTTCTAAAAGCCTCTCCTTGGCAGGTATGAAGCTTGCATGGATGTGACAGATAGTGACCACAAACCTGTAAGGTGCATATTCAATGTGGAGATTGCTCGAGTGGATGAATCAGTGAGAAGGCAAGAATATGGAGAAATCATTAGATCAGACGAGAAAGTCGTGCTTATGCTTCGGGAACTTAATAGAATTCCAGAAACAATAGTCAGCACAAATAACATAATCCTCATGAACTTGGATGCATCCATCTTGCGCATTACAAATAAGAGCGGGAAAAACAAAGCTATTTTTGAAATAATTTGTGAAGGCGAGTCCACTGTTAAAGATGATGGGCAAGTGTTTGATTATCGTCCAAGAGGTTCTTTTGGTTTCCCTCGTTGGCTTGAGGTAACTTCCACTTCTTAAAGTAGAGGTTTGGATCTTCTCTGTCATTGTAGTGCCTGGGGATTGATGGCCAGGGTTCTATTTTGTTGTGAGACTTCCCGTAGTGATTCCTCTCTCCCCCTTTCTTTTTTTACGTTTCCTCTTTCTAATTTTTTTTCTAGAGGTGGAAGATTGGAAGTCACAACCAGCTCAGTCATTCTGAACATTCTCATGAATGTCAGAAATTCTACGCCTCCCTTAGCATCTTATTTGGTTGTGATCCCTTAAAGCTAACTAGACCACAGAGAATGTATGATACATCAATAGCCTTTTGTTATTGCAGAAGACGGAAGTATGGAAATGAAGAAAATGTCGCAGTGAAACATGTTTTTTTATCTAAATGAGAAGACGAAATCGGTGGTAAATGAGAGAAATGGACTTATTCAGAACTGTGTTTTACTCAATTGGATATGGTTAGACCAACACCAAGTTCCATTTGAGAAAGGGTTAGGGTCCCAATGTATCTTCAAAATCTGCTATTCTAGCATGTTGTCCTTAAATGAAGAGCCTATTTACTGTTTCTCTTAAGCTAAAATTTTCACTCTAAATATTGGCTTTTAAGAATCTTATGTATTTGGGTTGAACTTCAACAGGTTAATCCTGCAGTTGGCGTCATTGTACCTGACCAAATTGTTGAGATTTCAGTTCACCATGAAGATCGGCAGACACTTGAGGAGTTCGTTGATGGAATTCCTCAAACCTCTTGGTGTGAAGATGCCAAGGATAAGGAAGTCATGTTGGCAATCAAAGTCCGCGGTTGCATCTCAACAGAAAGAAAATGTCACCGTGTCCGTGTGCGGCACTGCATTTCAGCCAAGCCTTTGCCCACAAAGGTCAGACAAAGCAACTCTGACCATCCCCAGCCAAATGTCCTTCGCCGGTCTGATTTTCAACCCAGTGGCTTTTCGGCTGATGTTGTTGACGACCTAATAAATCTAAACAGTCCTTGACAGCAAGCAAGCATATCTCCAGGTTGAACCTCAACAACACCCAATTTGTGTGTTTCACTACAACGAACAACCAAAGCGATGTGTTTCTGTAAATAATCACCGAAGGGACTATTGTACAACTTCTCGATAGGAAATTTTCGTTGCATATGTCAAATTCTTTTGAGTTGGTCACTTTTCGAATTATTCAGGCAGTCACTTATTGATAAGTGTATAACATAAATTGCACATATGCAATAACATAGAACTAGTTGTGTATGTAATCATGTAAGGTATTTGAGTGAGTGGTGCATTGAGTTGAACCCTTCTGTAAGTTGTGGGGTGTGGGTTTGACCTCTTTTCTGAGTATTCTTTTTTGATACACTCCTTGTTTCTACATTTCTCTGTTTTGGGAGGAGAAATGTGTAATTTTAAAAACTTTTAACAAGAAAAGGAGGCTTGTGATGTATTTAATGTTTCCCCCCTCTTTAGCATTGTGTTTTGTTATTCATTTTTTAATAAAGCAATGCATGTATTCCAGTTACTACTTGGGTTTAATGCAGTTGAGTCGAAGGTCTTTTGAAAACAACCTCTCTATCTTCTCGAGGTAGTGGTGAGGTCCGCATATATTGTATCCTTCCCAGATCCTACTTAGTAGGATTTCACTAGGTATGTTATTATTGTTGTATTCCAATTACTAGGGTTATATCGAATGAGAAACAAAGAAATTGGACACTGCTCTTCTTCTTGTTATAAGTGAATTGTTAGGCTTAGGGGGTTGTAATACCTGGTACTATAACGTTGGGATTATGTTATAATTAATAATATCAAGGTTAAATAATAATGAAACTATCTAGTGGAGCAGTCTTGCTTTTCAAGGGTTTAGACTTGTTGGTGTTTGTCATTGTTGTATTATTGAAACTCTTGGTATCGGAATATATCATCTATTGTCTATTATGTTTCGATTATCCTAATATTTTGTTGCTCTCGTTCCTTTCTTTGCATTATTCCATGATTAGTACATTGTTTTCTTCTTCTTTGTACTTAGATTTGTTGCACTTAAGTCAGGGGTCTTATGGAAACAACCTCTCTACCTCCACGAGGTACTGGTAAGGTTTGCATACACTCCGCACTCTGTGGACCACTTGTAGGATTTTACTGGGTAAAAGTAGTTGTTTCAACTCATTGAATCATCCTAAAAGATAATTAATTGTGGTAACAACAAAATAATAGTCCTAATACATGTTCTCCCGACTTAAAGTTAACCTACATTATAAAATGGACTGTTTTACAGAGAACATAAATATATTTCTATTGAAAACATGAAAAAATAGAACAACTAGTGTTATCATAGTAAGAGTACCAGTGCCCATCTCTCCATGTTTGATCGTAGGCATCTCCACGATCACCAGAGTCAAATTTTCCTATCTGAGAACACACCACCTTGCTTATTCTAGTACGTTGGACAAAGGACGGGTAGGAAATGTCAAAGACAAAAAGAAATGAGGAGCTTTCAGGATACCCAATTCTAATCAGACGGTTCTGAAGCAACACAGGATGAGATCTTCACCCTAAAACCAACATATCAACGACAATATATTAGATTCAAAAGTTGTTGAAGATCAACGTAGAGGACGTGATTTAAGTAACCTCTGTTGCATTACCTGAACCGTTTGGAGGTTTGAAGTTACTCTCAAGCCAATGTCAAGATGCAACCATTAAAAGAGTATGGATTTATGAACTCTGCTGAATGACTACCAAAGAACTAGCTTTTGATATGTTCCTAGACCTTGAGTAACAAGGAATTTCATGGCATGTGCAGCAAAGCAGATCCATATGCATCGAATCATGACCGCATCTGTGATCACTGGTTCACAATCGGGTAAAGTATGTCAACAACAACATACACAGTGTGATCCCACAAGTGGGCTCTGGAGAGGGTAAGGTAGATAGAGAGGTTGTCTCAAATAGACCCTCAGCTCAAAAGAAGTTTAATCAAAGCAGGATTGACAGATAAGAAATAATGACAACAAAATAACAAGATGAAGTGATGAACAGAGTAAAGAAGCATCAGGCAGTACGATAAAGTATGTCATCGAACACAAAATACAAAGTCTTCTGATAAAAAGTCCAGACCAATGCATGGAGAAGTCTGATAGCATGTTTTTGCTTCTTGTTTGCAAGGCAAGTATTTGATCTGATTCTATTTTTACATTACCATGGAAAGCTTGATGTACTAGAATTTCTTTCTACTTGTCCGCCCAACAGTTGAAAAACTATACCTATTAGAAGAGAGAGTTCCTCCGGAAGAGCGTCTTTTCTCAAGCCCTTGAAACCCCAATCGAAAGCTAAAAAAAATTCCGCCATAGGGTGTATATATAAAGCTTCTATGGGGGGAGAATGTTTTCTTTTTTTTTGGGTGGCAACAATTGGCACTTTCGGGACATGAGGAGGATTCAGAAGCAGGAAAAAAATAAGGTAGACTACACCAAGAAGCAACTATTAAAACCAAGATATGACCCATTAAATGCTATAGGAATATTAGTGATATCTAGGGATCAACCAACAGATAACAACTCTATTCATATAATTCAAAATGTTCAATATCTGAATAGGCATCAACCTAACTCAACAGTTACGGCAGTGCTAACATTATTTATCTTTGGATGGCCACATGTTTGGCACTGAGACAGCAATTTAACTCCTCGTCAATATTCAAACCCGTATTCACCACATTCTGGTTCCTTATTTTCCCCCCTTCATCTTCAACAATCCACACCGTACTGTATCCATGTGCACGGTTGTGCTTTATGTCCCGTCAAGGCTCACTGTAACTCACTCTGCTAATCTTTGTTATACTGATCAAAACCTCTAAATTCTTAGAAAAGCATGGAATTCTACCTCTAAGATGCCAATGTTAGTTTTTATATCAATCCAACTCCTGAGAGGAAGGATAAAACATCGACACCTCTAGGCTCTGATGATGAATCCTACCAACTAATACCTTCACACCCAAAGTCACAAAGCATATATTTTCATCTTTAAGCCTTCCAAAGGAACACAACCAATGACATTTAACTAGATCAAAGAAAAGTTACACCAGCAGGCAACTGAATGTCTAAACTAGCGGGCAGACCTGGCACACCAAACTTTCAAAATGTGGACAAATTAGCTTTGGCCTCGAAAAGTTAATGCCTGAGCCTACTCACTAATCCGCAACCCTGATGCATATTATATTAAAGAATAGCACCAAGAGAGTGCAGAGGATGAGTAGAACAACCATTTTAAATATGGATTAAACTTGAATGACCTAAGTTTTCACATTGGAGATGGAAACAGAAAGCTCTCATGGCAAAAGGTTAAATCCACTGTCAGGCGAATTTCATAAGCTGACAAATTGTCTAGTGCACATACTTCAAATTTCAAATTAACTTCGAAAAGAACTTCTTACCCAGTAATGCCAGTGCATTAGATGACAAGACAAACATTTTAATGATGAAAACAACTGAAGAGGGAAATTCCCACACCTGTAAATAAATAAAACATTAGTAGAAAAGTATTACTGTGAAACAAGAAAGTTTTCTAAGTAATTGATCCACTATGGACAAATGACAGCAAGGAACATACCATCATGGCAATAACAAAAATCTTGAAGTAACTCGAAACGAGGATCGAAAGCAATATATGCTTACACCTGTTGCCAAGTACACAATAATCATAATCAACTTCAACTCCAAAAATGTTTATGCTAACTCGATGTCTGAGGAAATCATTTAGACTAAAACGTCTTCTCACATGAGATGTTTTTTTTTTCAATTAAATTATTAGAGGTAATCATTGATCCTTAGTGACTCCAACTGTGCGAGCCAACCCGAAATAAAAGAAAGATAGAATTATCAATTCTCTACTCAGTAAGAAAGAGTGAATTCCAGTCTTGGATAGGTTTAGAAAAACTCAAGTGACACTAGAAACTCTAAAGCTCCGTAAAAACCTTTTTTTGAAATTGGTAACATGTTATATTCATCAGCTCCGTAGAAACCTTAGGCAATCCTTGTCTGCAGGGCTAACAAAATTGTTATACTTGAAATGGCTTTTAATCAGCAACTCACATAGATTGTAAAATATTTAGAGGTTCAGCACGTTGCTCATAGAATGGTTAAATCATACCCAACAGGAAGTTTTGTCTAGTACGTCATGTAGAATAATATGCAAGGGAAATGGTGTCAAACATTTTCGAACGTCCAAAAAGAGAAAAGGAACATTTATTTAGCGAAAGAGAGTATTAAACATCAAAACAAATATAAACTGAACTACTAAACTGCAAGATGAAGGAAAGCTTTACCTTGAATCTCCTATTTTTGCATTCAGAAACTTCCTTGTGCCAAATAGAATTATGCCAAGGAACACGAGATTCCCAAAGAAGACGCCCATGAGCACCTAACAACAGCAACCACCACTTTAAGCTTACAGCAAAGATCTAGATCGACAGGGGGAACGGATAGGCACTGAAATAGAACTAATACAAATTTCAAGGTGCATACCTTTCCACAAAGCCCCAGAAATGAGGCAAAGCTTGCAGGCAAACTCCTCTCATCTTGAGTTGTGCATACCGCCAACATTTGGTCTTTTCAAGTTAAGGCCATTAAACAATGCATGCTTAAAGGCTGCCCTCTTTAGGAACAGAGGGCTGCCGTTGAATTCTCTTCCACTGAACTGGAATTCGATTCTTTCAGTTCAATAAAGCTCAGTAGTTTAATACATCGTCCCGAGATTAAAATCACACACTCACAAGAAGAGAAAAGATAAGCACACTTATAATTGAAAATAAACAAACGTCATGTCAAGGAGAAAGACTTTAGAATTAAAATTTATACATCTGATGTGTAATTACAAATAGTTGGTTAGAGAAACTTACAAGAAATAGTTAATTCTTTAAATTATCATATGGTCACAACCTAACAAGAGGGGTAAACTAAACCATCAATAGGTATGCTACCAATGCAATACTAAAGGATTACATATTGCAATATCTGGTCCATGAAGAAAGAGTAACTTTCTATATATGGAAGGAAAGGAACAAAAGAGTTTTTGAAGGTCAGGCTAACAATACTCTGAAGATCAAATCTGTCCATCTATATCTTTGTTATCTAGTTGGATCAGGATGGATTTTGTAAATGAAGTAGAAACCTTATTGCAGTCTGTAGATAGCTTGCAATAGAGGGTTTCCGTTTTTCTTGTGTTTTGAACTTTTGGTGTACTCGAACACAATCTTTGTGCTATATCAATAATACTTAGCCTTTTCAAAAGAAAAGTTTGTAAAAATGTCGAAATACACAAAATATAGATAAACACTTGATATTGGTA